AAGATAATAGAAATGTGTTGAAAACGAAACTCTTAATCATTCAACAAATTTGAGTGCCTACTGTGCTGTAGGCACTGGGAGATTTAGACATTTATATCAAAAAGAGATATAATGCCAGCCCTCCAGAAACTTACATTGTTTCCAGAACTTTGAAAATAACCGTGTTGATGTTAGTTCTAAAATAATAGCTAAAATGAGCATTTTAGGATTATCTCATAAATTTATAGAATTTCATGATTCTTGAAATGAGACCAAGGATCAGTGGTCTTCTAAGTTAATTAACCTTGTATGTGACATTTTCCAAAGCAATGGCCTTGAAATCCACTTTATAATACATAACTAAACCTTTTTATTTTAGTTGGTGGTCATCAGTAAGTGACTATAGCTGGGAACAAGTCTACTTTTTGAGAAATGGACTCTGAAGCTCCCCGCCTTGTCTCTCATCCCAGGACCACTTAGGAGCTCTGTGACTTGAGCAAGTTACTTAACATGTCAAAGCCAGTTTTTTTCTCATTTGCAAAATGGAGCCATAGTGTGTTTAGTGCACCAACCATATAACATTGATACAAAAATTAAATGAATTGATGAATAGAAAGCATTCTCTAAATCTTAGCAGCTGTGTCCAATAATTATTATTTTCTTATTATAAGTTATTTTTTTTTGTTGTTTTATTGGGAAAATACTTAAAGATATCAAAAAGAAAATTGTATTCATAATTCCACTCTTTCTCTCTTTAAATTTGTTAAAGTAAGAAGTAGAAGTCCATCTTCTTCCTTCCTTCTCACCTCATTTTCTTTCCTCCCAACTCCCGCCTCCGTGGAATCACTGTTAATAGTACAGTGATTTGTCCCAACTTTTCCCAGTGCTTATGTAGCAGAGCTGTTTGATAGTGAGCTCAAAGAAGCAATGGCTGAATCTAGAAGTTTGCCTCAAGGAGGTATTGTGAGAGTTGTATCCTGAGCAGTGAGAGTAACACAGAAGCACAAACAACCACGCAGATGCAAGACATTCTAGTGGTACGTTTAGGCTGTGGGAGAAGAAGGAAGTCCTCTTGCTAGTTTTAATTCTATATCAGGGAAGGAAATATAGCCTCATTTTGAGTGTACCACATGATAAATTTTCAAAGCTATTTCAGTGTGGCGGTGAGCATTGTCTGTTAGCTTGTAGTTGCTTTCATACATCATGCTATCTCGTGCTCCTTGACTTTGTATCTCCACCCAGAGCCCAAGTACTCTGATATGCTGTCCCACTTTTCTTCACCTGAGTCACTCTTGATCATCTGTCAAGATTCATGTCCTCCAGGGTTAAATACCTCAACTGTCTGCTTCCGTAGTAGCCTATGCATACCTCTTTCTTAAGAAATTAGTTCGTGTCTCTTTTTCAGATTTCTACCATAACGTCTGTAGGGTAGTGACCATATCTTAATTATTTTTGTAGTCTTAGCACCTAACATAACTGGCATAAAAAGATCAGTATATGGCCCTGGCCAGTTTGGCTCAGTGGTTAGAGCATTGGACTGCGGTCTAAAGAGACCCGGGTTCGGTTCCCACTAAGGGCACGTACCTCGGCTGCAGTTTGTCCCCGGACCTGGTTGGGTCGTTTAGGTGGCAACTACTTCATGTGTCCTTTTCACATCGATGTTTCTCTCTCTCTCTCTCTCCCACTCTATCTGAACAAAATATTAAAAAATGCCCTCGGGTGAGGATTAAAAAAAAGATCAGTATATGTATATTGACTTAAACCAGCTAGCTATTGAGAAATTAGCTTTTTTTAAAATCCTGGTATGTGAACCAAATGGGAAAAATGAAGTTAATTCAGTGGTAAAATTGGCTCCATTTGAATTTTGTTCCAATGTAGAATGAACTTGTCCTTCAGAGGAATCCTACTTACGTTTGAAAGAAAAAGAAAAATCTTTAACCCTAATATTCAAGTTTGTCTTCTCTCCCTACCTTCACAAATTCTCAGCTAATTTTCTCATAATTTTATAGAAAAAGAAGAGGCCATTAAGCTTGAATTGTGTAACTCAAATTTCTTCATACATCATCCACATCTTCACCTACTTTTTCCTAACCTTAGATGATGAGGTAACTCCCTGTATTGTAATTTTAATCCTTTCTCTGTATGCTTAATCCCATTCCTTGTTGTTTTTCCAAAATCTCAACCAACACTCCCCATTCTGTCCTCCGTCATCTACATTGCCTTTTCCGGAGGCTTCTTCCCTGCATCCTGTGCCTGTGCAGTTCTCTCATCCTCTGTCCTTTGACTGACCTTTCCTTGCAGTTACTACTTTCACCCTTTGTTCTTTTCATAGCTAAACTTCATGAAATATTCTCTCTCTTCAACTTCAAATCACTTTTTGATTAACTGGAGGTCTCACTTCTTTACACTCCCCATCAACAGTCTCATGCTTATCATCTTTCTCCATGATCAGCAAATCTGATAACCAAATACCATAGACAAGACTCCTTTGTGGGGTTTTTTGTTTTGTTTTGTTTTTTTGTTTTACTATGATCACTCCCTTTTTGAAATTTTCTTGTCCCTTAATTTCTCTGACATCTCTTTCCCTTGGGTCTTCTTTCACTTCTCTCACTTTGAAGTCTTTCCCTACGGAACCTCATATCCTTACCTGGGATCAGCTGCCTTCTGTGTACCTAGGATGTCCAAATTTATCTATCTATTCATGAGCTTCAGATCAGAATCTTCAAATTGCTGCACGTCATTAATTGCATATCCCGCTTCAAGTAACGTTTCTAAATGGAATTAACAAAAAAAATTTTTTTATTGATTTTAGAAGAGAGAGGGAGGGAGAGGGAGAGAGAGATAGAAACATTGATGAGACAGAACATTGATTGGCTACCTCCTGCGTGCCCCCCACTGGGGATTGGGCCCACAACCTAGGCATGTACCCTGACTGGGAATTAAATCTGCGACCTCTTGGTGCATGTGTTGATGCTCAACCACTGAGCCATCCTGGCCAGGCCTAAATGGAATTTTTTATGTCCCTTGTGATGCAACCAGTTGCATCTAAAATCCAAGACATGGTAAAAGGACCATTCATCATTTCATTTTACAAGTTAGAAACCATAGTGTTATCCTTGATAACTTCTGTACATGTAGTAAATAAACAAAACTTGGTTGTCTCTAGTACCCAAATATGTTTTGATTTAATTTCCTGCTATCCACTCCTGTTGCTACTGCCTTCATTCTGAACATCTTCATCCCTCCTGAATTATTTTAATAATTTTTCATTGGTTTCATGGCTGTTCCTGCTCCTAACTAGCCTGACACCCAACAGTCCATACATTACTCGGTGCAGGAGTTAATTAGAAATAGGATCACATTATTCTTCTTATGAACCTTCCATGACTCCTCATTTTCTGTGGAATAAAACTCCTACTTTGAGGTATGGCATGTGGGACTAAACCTTCAAAATATGACCTCTGCCTATCTTGATGATATTCTCTCTGTTACTTCCCTCCATGGAAGTGTGAACTGGTATGCACAAACATTAGGGAAAATTTTGGTAGACAAAATAAACCATTGATTTGCCTTTCTCTATGAACGAAGAAACTCTAGCTAATCAAGGATTTCCTTTAGTTGGATTCAACTTTGTGCATTAGGTGTTTTGGGAGAGTATGTTCTAAAAATGTACTTCTTAGGCCTTTAAGCTAAATTTCTTGAAATACCTGATAATTCTGAATAGCAGAAGTTATATAGATATTGGCCCAAGGTGGCATTTCTATTTCATTTGATGTGTTAATTTTTAAATATGCAGGTTATATAACTTAGAATATATAACCATGTCCCAGACTTCTTTGGCAATGAATTTAAATATTTAGCCCCATAAATATAATAGAAAATAAATCTTTACCTTTGGTGACAAATCCCAGTTCTTTATAGATATCTGGGAGGCAGTGGGGGAAGGAGACAGACTTTCCTAACTTTCGTTGGCAGCAGTGCTTGTGCCATGCTGCTTACCTGGCTGATACGACGGTCCGTTCCGTAATACAAATGTCCTCGTTCTGCTCCAAGGAGAATGCTTGGTGCTGCATAATTCATGGTGTTGGCATAAAACGGTGTGAAAAGTTTGGCAAAACCATTTGCATAGAGCAGAGTATTTAAGGCAAGTCAAGCTCAAACAACACATCTTTCCTTTAAAAAATATTTGAATATATAAAATGGATAAACTGCTTTTGATAAGAGATAAAAGTTGCCATTTTCCTTTGTAGGAATCAGTCGCAACAATTTAGGACTGTTTTAACGAGTGTTCCTATTAAATGATAAACAGAGCTGTTAATATGCTGGTATAAGAATTTTTTAAGTGTTGTATCTAGGTACCTATTTCATTTCTTTTGTGCTTTCTTATTGTCCATCCTGCGGCCACTTGGGAAGCTCTCTGAGAGCAGAGGGTGTGTCTTGTGCTCTTCCGGATCCTGGCACCTGACCAGGGGGTAGCTGGGCAGATATGCTTCATATATGAATAAACCCATCAAATAGTAATTTTAATTTTATTCTAGATTTACACTCAAACAGCATAATGGTTCAAAATCGCACTGGAAAAAAAGCCAAAAATATGTTTTAGCAGCTCATAACTAAATGTTCAGGTAAAGGAAGTTGTGGAATTTAGGTTTTACAATTCTCTGGCATCTCTTTTAGCACGTAATGAATTGAAACCCACCCTAAGCTCTGGCTGGTTTGGCTCAGCAGTTAAACCATCAGCCCTTGGACTGAAGGGTTGCAAGTTTGATCCCCGGCCCCAGTCCAGGTCATGTGGGAGGCAATCAGTCGATGTTTCTTTCATTCTCTCTCTCTCCCTCCCTCTTACGCTATCTAAAAAAAAAAAAAAATTAATGGAAAAATATCTTCAGGGTGGGGACTAACAAACAAACAAAAAAATCCATCCTAATACTTTAAACATGCTTTAAATTATATAGTGAAACTTAAAAAAAATACTGTATATTTTTTGGCTAGTCTCTCTCTCTCTCTCTTTTTAATTTTAGGAAAGAGAAAAAATACCTTGATCGATGCTGGAAAGATATTACAGTTGGAGACTTTGTTCGCCTTTCCTGTAACGAGGTCATTCCTGCAGATATGGTCTTACTCTTTTCCACTGATCCAGATGGAATCTGTCATATTGAGACTTCTGGTCTTGACGGAGAGAGCAATTTGAAACAGAGGCAGGTGGTTCGAGGGTATGCAGAGCAGGTAAATAACATGTTTGCAGTTGGTGACATTAACATTTTCTTTTTAGAAAATGAATAAGCTTATTTTCACATGTATAAAGAGATTTTAAAATTTATTTTTGCCATTGAAAAATAGAATCCCAGAAGGCTTAATACAGTTCCTGATATAAATGGAAGTATGCTATACTTTGTAGATGATAAGATATAATGACTTCAGAGTTTAAGCATTTCAGTCTAACAATCAAATATTTTTTGGAACTGAATTAAAGACACCTAAGAGAATTATTTTGACTTTGGGTAGTGGGCACACAATGCAATATTACAGATGATGTGTCACAGACTTGTACACTTGAATATTATTAACCAAGGTCAGCCCAATAAATTTAATTTAAAAATTATTTTGCAGTTTTGAAAATTACTTTGTAATAGAAATAATCACCTTCTAATTGATCTTTCTTGAGCTTAGACTTTATGTTGAAGCTGGAGACATAATAGGTCATTGTTTCTAAAACTGTGTAGTTAGTTATATAGCAAGGCCTTTTAAGACTTTCGTAGCTTCTCATGCCACAGAGCTCCTAGACCTTTCACAGGCTATGGCGAGGGAAGCAGGAACTTTGAAGTTATATTAATTAACATGAGTTTGAATGAATTCCAACTCTGCCATTTAATTACTGTGTGACTTTGAGCAACTCACCAACATACTTCATGCATCAGTTTATCTTAACATGGAAATGATGTCTCCCTCATAGCACTGCTGTGAGATTCAAATGAAGTAATATATGTAAAAGCATCATGTCTAATGCCTGAATATCTGTTTGCCTTCCCTTTCTCTGGAAGCACTTGAGATGAAGTATTTCTAAATTTAAAATATAATGGTCTTCTTTTAAATGAATTACTATTAGGTCAGGCATTCTTCATCTTCTACTTGTAAGCCAGCAAACATGTTAGTCGAAGAATACCTTTATCTTTAGTAAATTTCATCACGTGATGTCATGTTGTGCCCATCTTTCAACCTGTGAATTTAGATCCTCTGTGATTGCTAGGCCTCTGAGCTTGTTGTCATGGCCACTTTTGTAAGCATTCCTGTACCTAAGACATTTGTAAAGGCCTATGTAACTTGGAATTTTATTACATACCACTAAAAACCTACTTGGAGGGCGATGCCTATTAATTAGTCAGCATACTTTGGATTCATTTGAGGGTGAACACTCTGGTATTCTGTGACCTCGATTATAATCCTGGCTCTAAATTCCTTCTTGTTTTGAGAAATTTAGCAGATTAATGATCCTCTTTGTGTCTCTCTTTCTTCATCTGTTAATTAGACCTAATTATAGTACCACGTGGGGTTGTGAAGAAGAAATTAGTTAATATATTGGAAGTGTATAATGTAGATTCCAGTACATCAAAAGAACTCAAAAATATTATTAGTAAATATAATTATATGATCATAACTCACATTTTTCATATGTTTGCTATGAAATATATATTAACATTGCACAAGCTATATCAATAGCATTTTTTGTTAGCCAAAAAGCCTTATAAAAATAAAAAAGGAGATGAGATAGGGTTGGTGTGGCTGTTCATTGTGACTCCATGCCTATGTGCTATAAAGACACTTTGCTTATTTGCTCATTGATTTTATAAAATGTTCTAAAATTATTATTTGATCCATTAGAGTATTTTGTAGGATACCAGTGTCTAGCTTATTTTTAAATTTTTAAATAAAATTTGCTGGGATCGAATGCATATGAGCTCCAACTGTTCACATATACATTTACTCTCAGAAACTACCTACATGGTTGAAGAACCACAACAAAGTGTTTTCAGCTTTTGAGTGCCTTCTATACTGCATGATTAGAAGCTTTCTTCCGCAGAATCCTGCATGGGTCCCAGTATGCAGTTCAGACATTCCCATTACCTGCCAATGTCTATTACTGTGATGTGACAAAAGGTGTAATTCTGATCCAATTGATTCATTCATCATTATGCCTATACTTTGGTGACATAAACTTTGTGGCAAGGATACCTTACTTTTACCTTAAAAATTTGTGAAAGGATAAATACTTAAATCTTAAGGGCTTGACCTTGAATTCTTCTTGTTTTGTGATTTAAAAAATATATATACATATATATTTTTAGGACTCTGAAGTTGATCCCGAGAAATTCTCCAGTAGGATAGAATGTGAAAGTCCAAACAATGACCTCAACAGATTCCGAGGCTTCCTGTGAGTGATACATGATTTACCTTTGTGGGTGTGAGTGGAATTGTGTGTTGCAACTATGTTTAACTTGATAAAACTTTGTGTACTTTGTGTTAAATCACTAATGGCCATATGTTTAGACACCTTATAAATCTGGTAAATATTTTCCTATGTATATTTAAGAAATAACAACAAAACCTTGTTTTTAAACTAATCCTAGAATCTCAGTGGGTAAGAATGTCTTACATAAACTCCACATTAAGCCCAAGATGTGTTAGTTGTTTGGAAGGAGGTGTTTGGACAGAACTGACAGCTTAAGTGACATAGTAGGATTGTGTTCCTGCAGAATTAGAGTAGCACGTGGACAGTCTGGTTAGCAAAAGTTAGCCAATGATTTGGAAACATCTAAGAAGTATGAAAAATCATGACAGTATTCATGAGCAGCTAGAATTTGGGGTCTTACCTAATGTCATGCCTGGCTTATGCTACTTAAGTGCTTTATGCTTTGAACCAAGTTATTTACTCTTCTAGTTTCTTTATTTTTAAGAGGAGACAATTTGATCTACTTCATATTGGTGATCTTTCAGAAAATGTAGAGAAAAGTTTCCAACTCATTTTTTGAGACCAGAATTATCATAATACCATTATTCAGATAACAAAAGCATTAAAAAATATTTAAGGAAAGATCAGTATTCCTCATATACCATATATGCAAAAGTTCTACACAAAACTATAGCAAATCACATCCAACAATATATAAAAAGAATAATACATCATGACCTAGTGGGACTTATACCAAAAATGCAGGATTGGTTTAACATTTGAAAATTAAATAATGTGATTCACTATATCAGTAAATCATAATTAACAAATTACAAAAGGAAATCCAGGTGATCATTTCATACATGTAGAAAAAGCATTTGACAAAATCTAATTAAACAAAATCTTTTGTTCTTGCAAACTGAAAATAGAAGGAAACTTTCTTAACCTGATAAAGGGCATTTATGTAAAACCTATAGGTAGCATCATATTTAATGGTAAAAGACTAAATGGTTTTTTTCCTAAGATCAGGAACAAGACATGAATATTCACTAGACCATTTTTTTTTTCTTCAAACTAGAACTGGAGATTTTAGCTAGTGCAATCAGACAAGAAAAAGAACTCAAGTAAGAAGGAAGTAAAACTTTTATTCATAGATGATGTGATGGTTTTTGTCTAAAATCTGATAAAAACTACATGAATTAATAAGTGGATTTAACAATGTAGGAAATAAGATCAATACTAAAAAATCAGTTGTATTTCTGTATACTAGCAATGAGCAAATAGATATTGAAATTTTAAAAATATAATTTATAATAGCATCAGGAAAAATAAAGTACTTAAGGATAAATTCGACAAAAGTTGTGAAAGACCTGCACACTGACAATTACCGAACACTGTTGAGACAAGTTAAATACCTAAATTTAAAGTAGAGACATATATTGTTCATGCATTGACTCAATATTTTCATGATGTCAATTTGCCCCAATTCGATCTATAGATTTGGTATAATCTCATGAAAATTCCAGCAGGGTTTTTTTTGTGTGTGTTTTTGTTGTTGTTTTTGTTTTTAGAAATTGACAAGTTAAAAAAAAATTTATATGGAAATGCAAAGGACCTATATAACTAAAACAACTTTGAAAAAGAACAAAGTTGGAGGGCTAATGCCATCTGATTTTAAGACATAATAAAAATACAATAATCAAGCCAGTGTCATTTTGCATAAAAATAGACCAATAGAGCAATGGAAAATATGAAGTCTAGATATTAACCCAGACGTTTATGGACACATGGATTTTGACAAAGATACACAGTCACTTTAGTAAAGAAAAGCTAGTTTTTCTAATAGATGATACTGCAGCAATTGAATATCCATGTTTAAAAACTAAACTACAATCCAGACTTCTCACCGTTAAAAAAATTGCTAAAAAAAAAAGAATTCTATGCTTAACTGTAAACCTAAAATTATAAAACTCCTAGAAAAAAACATAGGATCGATTTTTAGTAGCTTGGGTTAGGCAAAGATTTCTTAGCTACACCACTAAAAGTACAATCCACGAAAAGACAAAAAATAAAAGAGCTTTATCAAATTTAAAACCATTTTCTCTTCAACTGACACTATTAAGTGAATGAAAATGTAAGTCACAGACTGGAAGAAATAGTTTTCAGTGCGTATATCTGATATAGGACTTATATTCAGAATATATAAAGACAACTCAAAACTCAGTAATAAGAATACAAACCATACAATTTTTTAAGTGGTCAAAAATTTGAACAGACACTTCAGCAAAGATATACGAATGGGAAATATTTGTGTGAAAAGATCTAAGTGAAAACCAGAGCTCCAATGCTAAAATTACAAAGACCAACTATACCGAGGTTGGTGAGGATGTAAAGGGACTAGAATACTCTTACTCCTGGTAGGAATGTTAAATGGTACATTTACTTTAGAAAACATTTTGGAAATTTCCTCAAAAGTCAAACATATACCAACCATGTAATCTGGCCATTCCACTCCTAAGTAGTTACCCGAGAGAAAAGAAAACTAGAATGACTGACATTCTAGGTTGATGGAGCAACATAGGCAATGGTATAGAGGCCTGAGACCATGGTGCATTTGTTCAGTTATGAGTGGTTAAGTAGGTCTGGAGTGTGGTTAGCAATAAGGTAGATCATATGGAAGCCAGATCCCGAAGGAGCTTGTGTGTTTTGCTTGAGATGAAGTATTTATCCTGAAGTCATTGGGGTTCATATTAGAGAAATTCTTCCATGGCTAAATTTTAGATGGTCTTCGTGAAGAGACATTAGGCAGATTCCCTTCTCTCATCAGAAATACGCTCATAAGCCATCTCTTAGGATGAGTGCTTTTCTAGGATTTTTTCCTTCAGCTGCTGACCATTCATAAAGTTTCCTCTTGTAAATATCAGATTCAGGGGCTGCCATTTTTAAACCTGATGTCAGATCTGTCTTGGAGTCCAGCATCTACAACCTTTCCCCCCCATACTTGGGAGTGCTGACTTCCTGACCAAACCAGACTCGCCTTCGGCAGGATGGATCTTGTTTATGGGCATGAGAGAACAGGAAGGAACACTGGCCTAGCACTGTGTGATCTGGAGCATAGAACTCTGCCCAGAATCTGATCAGAACATGTACTTAGTAGTTTTTTTCTTTAGTTATAAAAGCATTGTTGCCACTCTAATTTTGATCCTGTGTTCCAATTCTGATAGCTAGTCTGATATCTGAGACTCCATCTCTTGCTACCTGGGACCCTTACACTGTGGTGAGAACTTGACCAAATGTCTGGGACTGGAGTCCTGCCTAGTCTACCTTTGTCAGCCTCTCTCTTCATCTCCTTTGGACATGGTTCTTTTTAAAAAATGTTTTTATTGATTTTAGAGAGAGGGGGAGGGAGAGGGAAAGAGAAAACATCTATCAGCTGCCTCCTGCACACTCCCCACCAGGGTTCAAGCCTGCAGCCTGGGCATGTGCCCTGACCAGGAATCGAACCAGCGACCTCTTGTTGCATGGGACAGCAGTCAACCAGTTGAGCCACACCAGCCACACTGGACATGGTTCTTTTTCAACAGACACATGAGAGCATCATTTGCTATGCTAGGTACTGAGTCTTGCCCCAGAATCCTACCTAATCCCAAGGCCCTTCATGCTCCCACATTATCACTTGCCCCTGGATTTCTGGACACCATGTTTTCTTGCCCTTTGATTCCTCCAAGCATGATAAGCTCTTCTGATGTCTGTTTGTTCCAACATGTGCTGCCTTACTTTCTGGTTAGCATGGTCTTGACCACTGAAGAGGTCTTCCTCCTGGAGTCCATAACTAAAAGATACTCTCTGCTTCCTCTTTCCCCTCAGATTATTTCTTCCTTAGTGTTTGGACTAACTTGGGCCTGCTCTGTTGATGCCTGTATTGAGAGCTAGCTTCACCAATTTGGAGAGAAGCACTTGATGAGAGAATCAGCCAGGAAGACGAGGTGCTTTTTTGTGGAATTATTTTTAGCCATTGAACCAGCTCCTTGTCCTTTTCTTACTTTGTAGCCTGTTTTCTAAAATCAACGAAAACTGAGATGCTCAAGCTTACTCTCTATATGATGCCTTCTCTGACCTTCTCACTTTCAGGCAGAACTGACTTTCTCCCTGTTTATGCCCACATTGTATGCTATCATATTTCTATCATAATAGCTATAATATTTTATTACACTTATGGTATTTTATATCCGTCACCTCATCTTAGATCACAGGAGCCATGACTGTGTGTTTGTTTTTCTATCCCCAGCCTCTGGAGGGAGTGCTAGGACAGTAGGTGTTACATAGGTGCTTGAATGGACGAGAGCCCCGTGCATTTAGTCTGTGCTTCACGTAGAATCCAGAGGCCATATGCCATAAGTGCCAAAGAGCACGCACCTATCGGATGCAGGACAGGCTTAGCATTTGGGCAGATGCAACCAAGACAGAAGCTGGGCTCTGCTAATGGTAACCTAGAGTGATGCAATGGTGAAAATAAGGACCGAGGAGGGGAGTTTTAATATTTACTGAGGCACTTTGGAACTGAGGCTTATGTTGTTAAATCTGCCCCTATAGAGATTCTAGGGTTAAAACATACTATACTGGTGAGGATCGGGTGGTGCTTGCCTGGGAATGGGAATGTTGGGGCTTAATTTCCTCATCTGTAAAACCAGGGTGTTGAATTAGATCGAACCCAAAGACACTTCTAGCTCTGACCATAACCCTGTGGTCCATTCATTGTACATAAACCCACATATATGAAGGAATGTAAACATATACCTCTTAGAAAAAATGCTTTGCAAATTATAGGAGTGAAATGACCTCTAGTTTTCCCCTCCTTTGTGGTGTGAAACCTTCTTTGAAGTATTTTTTTTTTCCTTCTAATTCCAGATAACAAGGATTTGTTCTAATTTCTTCAGTTATCTCAAAAAAATGTTTTACAGTCAACTTATTCTAATCAGGATCAATGCAAGGTCTACCCATTGTATTTGGTTGATATGTCTCTAAATTTTCCTTCCCAATAAATAAGCTCATTTAGCTTGTGGAATTGGCCACAGTCTAGACTGAGCTGATTGAATCTTCCCTGTGTTGAGTCCCCCTCCCCCTTCTTTTGCCCCATGCCATTCGCTTATTGAATAAATCAGGTCATTTCGCCTGTAGAGTTTACCACATTTTAGATTTAGTTGACTGAATCCATGCAGTAGTGGTTGGCATGGTTCTCTAGCCCTCTTATTATCCTGTAAACTGTCCAGGCTCATTTCAGAATCTGATGAAAGAAATTGTTTCTCTCCCTATAAAATGACAAACATATATTATGCACTTACACACACGCGCGCGCAGAAATATTGCTTACACTTTCAAAGGCTTCACAGATCCCCAGAAGCCGCAGACCCCAGTTTGGTTTGCCCTGATAGAGGCTTGAGTAGGTTCCCATGGAGATATGCACTTTCTGTCCCCAAACATAGAGGCCTGTGGTGTGCCCTGGTCCTTTTGGTAGTTCTGTTAAGATTGGTGTTGTCAGCCTTATCCATTTATTACCAAGTTCCCCATCAGCCTTTTACTAATGATTTTAGCAAATACCAATTATCATTGCCTAGAGCAGTGGTTCTCAATCTGTGGGTCACGACCCCTTTGGGGGTTGAACAACCCTTTCATAGGGGTCGCCTAAGACATAACAGTAGCAAAATTACAGTTATGAAGTAGCAACAAAAATAATTTTATGGTTGGGGGTCACAGCAACATGAGGAGCTGTTTTAAAGGGTCTTGGCATTAGGAAGGTTGAGAACCACTGGCCTAGAGTGATTCTTGATTTCATCTGTGTTGAAAATGATGATTTTTCAGTTGTACCCAGAACTTCTCCCTCATCAACTATTAATTACCTGAAATACGATTTGTACTAGGGAAGCAGGTTTCTTATTTGGAATATTTTTGAGCTTCTGTAAAACTAGAAGTTGACAAAAAATTCAATACTAGAAAACAATGGTATTTAGAAACTTGTTACATCTTTTTTTCCAGCCAAAGCTGGTAACTCTGAAATAACAAAACAAATGGGCCAGAGATAAGAAAACTTTTCCTGTGAACTGCCTAACTTAATACTCTAATCAAGAAAACTCAAATCCGTGATTTTGATTTTTATATCCCCACTTTTACTATTTAAAAATGAATCTATGTGCTCTGCTGTCTTTCTTACAGAGAACATTCCAACAAAGAACGTGTGGGTCTCAGTAAAGAAAATTTATTACTTAGAGGATGCACCATCAGAAACACAGAGGCTGTTGTGGGCATCGTGGTATATGCAGGTTGGTCCTCACTCCTCTGTGCTTTCCTACAAATTAATATTTTCCATTCACTCAAAATGCAGTCTTAAAAAGCAGAAAGGAAATTTTGTCTTGATAAACTTAATCATTGGTCTCTGTTTTTCTCAATGGATTACAAAAGCAAACAAAGCCCTGTACAGTTTTGCTCAGCGGTTAGAGCATCGGCCCACTGACCAAAGAGTCTCAAGTTTGATTATGGTCAAGGGCACATACCTCAGTTGCTGTTCGATCTCCAGCCCTGGTTGGGGTCGTGCGGGAGGCAATCAGTCTATATGTCTCTCTCACATTGATGTTTCTCTCTCTCTCCCTCCCTCCTACCCACTCTATCTGAAAATCAATGGAAAAATATTCTCAGGTGAGGATTAAAAAAAAAGCAAACAAAATTAACAAAATACATAACTACTTTTTATGAAATTATCTGCCAGAGAGATTTTAAAATATGATATTTGCTACCTGGCTTTAATTTGCACATTCTCTGACACACTGTGTTACTTTTTTAGGTCATGAAACCAAAGCAATGCTGAACAACAGTGGTCCAAGGTATAAGCGCAGCAAATTAGAAAGAAGAGCAAATACAGATGTCCTCTGGTGTGTTCTGCTGTTGGTTGTAATGTGCTTAACTGGTGCATTGGGTAAGTAGAATTTTATTATTTGAAGACATTTTTTCAGCAATATATTCATTTAAAAGCATTTTACTTTAAAAAATTTATGAATGTCTGACTTCTGTAAGGAAGGTTTTATTTGCCTGAAAAGCACTAATGTGGATTATATTCAGTTATATGTACTAAAGGAACCTGGGAAGGGATTTAAAAAGGCAGAGACAACAGAATGTGTAGAATTTTGCACTTGAATTTGTTTCCAAAAACAAATCATTGGTGTTCAAACCAAATAAATAGTCTCATTCCAGTTGTTTTAGAAATAAAGTTATATATTTGCATAATATATATGTAGCATCCATTTGATGTCTGTGTATTTTTTGGAAGGTCATGGAATCTGGTTGAGTAGATATGAAAACGTAGTCTTTTTCCATATCCCTGAGCCCGATGGACATGTCACATCACCAGTGTTGGCAGGATTCTACATGTTTTGGACCATGATCATTTTGTTACAGGTAATTTCTGTCAAACTCATCATAGAATTTTAAGACCTTTGCTACTTATCCAGCTATATTCGATTTCTCAACCTCTCCTTTCCCCCTTTTTAATGTGTTTTCAAATTGCTTGGTTCTTTGCAGGTCATGATTCCCATTTCTCTCTATGTTTCCATTGAAATTGTGAAGCTTGGACAGATATATTTTATTCAAAGTGATGTGGATTTCTACAATGAGAAAATGGATTCTACTGTTCAGTGCCGAGCCCTAAACATCACCGAGGATCTCGGGCAGATTCAGTACCTCTTTTCTGATAAGACAGGAACCCTCACTGAGAATAAGATGGTTTTTCGAAGATGCAGTGTGGCAGGCTTTGATTACTGTCATGAAGAAAATGGTGAGTGCTGAGTGTCTATGAAAACCAACCTTAACATTGATCTTGTTACACTCACCTAAAGGTTTGATCATTGTAGCATAGAAGTGCTATATTTAAGCATTGGGTGCTTAAGTCATCCAAATGGGCCTTAAGCTTACTTGCCATTCCTTCAGAAGTTAGTAGATCAAAGTCACGGTGTCTACTGCCATGCTTTCTTCGGAGGGAAAGCGAGTTCCCAGTAGAAGTGGAAGGCGAGGTTGTCGATGGTGACAGTGCTGATGCATTATAGGTGCTTTTGAGAATCTAATGAAAATATGAACCATATCCCTAAAAAACATTTTGAAAATATTTCCAAAGGGACTACAAGCTCCCCATGAGCCCAGCATTCAACCCATGGGTGTTCACTGATGCTTGGTTAAGAACATCTAATTCACAAATAAATAACATGAGCTGAGCTTCTGACACTAAGGAAGCAAATACATAAATTACAAGTTTTTCTTAAATAATTGAACTTCAATTTTGTTATCTATAAAAGTAATATGTGCTCCTATGAAGAAGTTCTGAGAAGTGTTCAAAACAGATGAAAACCCCTGCTCTCTAACGGTTAACCACCATTAACAATTTGATCAGTATGTATTTGTTTATAAATATTCCCCTATATGTGAACCATGTATTTTTACACGTTTTCCCTTTTGTAAGTTAGAACATTTTGTTTTGCAATTTGCTGCTTTTATTCAACAGTATCTTGTGGACTTTTTCACAGATAATTTCTTAACATTAAGTGCTTAGTGTTGCATTATTTCTGGTCAAGCTCAGGTTGCTATTATACCTGTACTTTCGATTAACATCACTTTTTTATTCAACAGATATTTTGTGAGCTCCTAATATATGGCATTAGCCCATGATTTCATGTAGCTTAGAATTTAGAACAAGGAGATAGACAAATAAGATGAAAAATTATGACAGGTAAGATAAAAGAAAATGCGTTTTTCAGGCCCAATCAGAATGGGATGAAGCTATTCTTTTTGGTCTGTGTGATTTTCATTGTGAACAAAATTGTCTTAGTTTGTAATTAGTAATTAGTAATGAGATGTTTAACTTTTTATATGTTTATTGGTCATTTGACTATGTCCTTTTCCTGTTTTATAGGACTTTTTTCTTATTCTTAGTCATCTGTAGGAGGGTTTTATCTACTAAGTTAGTGCTGATGCCTCAGTCTAAGTGGTCTGTGGCCAGCATCCATTTTCATTTGTGCACTTGGATTGAACCAGTTGTTAAATAATCTGATTATCAACCCTGATATATCAACCTTCCTTCTATATGTAGCAACTGTTCCCAGTTGTTCGTGATTTTCAATGTATTCGTTTTCTGTTGCAGCATAACAAATTGCCACAAACTTAGTGGCTTTGAACAACACAAATAAACAAGCCCATGGCTTCTGTGGATCAGAGTCTCTTGGGGTCTCTCACCAGGCCAAATCTAGGTGTCTGCTTGGGCTATGATTTTATCTGAGGCTCAGGAGCCTGTTCTCAGCTCACTGCTTTTTGGCAGAATTCAGAGTCTTGAGGTTATAGGGCTGTGGTCCTGCTTTTCTGCTGGCTCTCAGCCTGGGTCATTCTGAGCTCGACGCAGCCGAACTCAGCATGGCAGTTTGATTCTTCAAGGCCTGCAGCAGACCCTCTAGCTTTGAATCTCTCTCACCTCAGGGATGTTCTGACACTTCTTTAAAGGACTTACCTGATGGGATCAGATCCATGTTGGGTAGCCTTCTTTTACATTAACTCAAAATCAACTGATTAGGAACTAGATCACATCTTCAAATTCCCTCCACCTTTGCCCTAAAACATAACATAATCATGGAAATGAGACCTGTCATACTCACAAGGTGCGTGCACCAGGTGGCAGGAACTTGGGGACTCTTAGAATTCTGCCTGCCACTGTCTCTTAACTTTACTTAGGGAGTTTCTTCTTGGTAGAGGCTTTATATTTTTACTAAGTATTTTTGTCAATTATCACAAATATTAGTAAGATTATGAATATCATGATTTCTGCCAGGAGTGTTAAACTTAGACATCCCACTCTGCCCAAGATTTTAAAAAACGTATTATACTACATTTTCTCCCAGGTACATATATTTTTAAGCTAGTTGTGTTGTTACCTGTGAGTATGAGAGGTAAAATGTTGAGTATCACATAATCAGTATCTAAATGTAAAAAAAAAATAGCTAGTCTTATTGGCTATAATGATACTCTGCATTAGGTTTCATCTTTTTTATTGTTTTATTACAAAAGCAATATTATAGAAAATTTAGATAAGCCCAAAGAGGAAAAATTTTAAGTCATCAATCATATTCACCAAACAAAGTAGACCACTGTGAACATGTTAGTGCATTTCTTCCAAGTTTGTTTTTCATGTACACATTACTGTGTGTTTTTTAAACAACAGTACCATCACAGCGTGCTCTTACTTTTACACCCATTCTTCTTAGGACTTTTCATGACTCCCTTTCCGTTATCTCCTTATTCTTCTGGCGGTTACTCAATAGTGCATGGAAGAATTCCCATAGCTTATTTAATTAATCCATCATTAGTTTGGGTTGTCAACAGTCGCTTGCTGGGTAAATTGCTGCAGTGAACAGCCCTGCAGCCATCCATGCCTCTATGCCCGTTTATGAGGCTGGAGTTTTCTAAAATTATCTGATCATAGATCCCCATTTTCAAGAAGTATTTTGCAGTGCTAATGTTTCCTAAAATACATGGTGGGAAGCACTGTATTATTATTTTTTATTGGCAGCATTTATAACTTTGTATTAGTAACATTTAAGAGGACTAATACCAGCCATCTCCCACTCCAGTCCCTAACATACACGCTCCTGCCCAGTGAGTGCGTCTCTTCTGTGGCTCCTCATGCAGAGAAGGTACCAGTGACTAAGAATCAAATGCTGTCACGATAATTGATAAGATACTTGTTTGTGAACCATGGAGGGTTGCACTACTTGTAGAAGGTGCTGACTGCCTGTGAGCACTTACCATATACATCTATGGCTTCTGGTCTCCTCTTTGCAGTGACTTAAAAATGAGCCTCTGTGTACACACACACATATGCTCAGGGTGAATGCTGAACGGGTGATGGTAGAGGCCAGTTCTCCCAAGAGCTTAATTCTGGGGAGACATATTATTTTCACAGAAATGAAAATAACTTAACGCTTCAGGATTTTCTAGCAAAACTGTTGGCTAGGAGACAGTTCCATAAGGAATATTGCTGCTTTCAAATAAGCCTTTACCCATATGTAACTGAATTAAATGCATCTGATAAGACTATTTTATGTTTTAACATCTTGCAACTTAGAAATTTAGTCCGCAGAGCAAGCAGCTTATAGACAGCTAGCAATCCAACAGCACATGTTTGTTGATTATTTACTGCGTATTCCAGACATTGGACATAATCATAAACAAGACAGACAAGGCCCCTGCTCTCGGACAAGGAGCTTCTACTGAGGAAATAGTTGCAAAAAAATAATGTTTAAATCAATAAAAAAAATGTAAATAGTAAAAAGTGCTTTGCAAAGAATTAAAATGAGATGATATGATTGAGAATGGTTAGAAGGCTATTTGGGATTGGATGGTTGGGCAAGGCCTCTCTAGGGGGGGGCATTACAGCCTAGATCTAAGTTACATAATCTTGAAGTTCAGGGGCAAAAGCCTGCCAGTCAGAGGTAATAGGCAGTCTAACCCTCAGGCCAAAATGAGCTTGGCAGTTTCTAAAATGAAAGAAAGGCAGTGAGGCTGGGTTTTAGTGGAAGAAGGAGAGGCAAGGAAGCTAGAGAGGTCAGCAGAGGTCAGGTCATTTTGAGTTATATAAGCCAAGAAAAGGGGTTCAGATTTTTTACTCTGAGAGTTTTGTGCAGGGAGTGATCTGACCTGCTTTATCTTTTAGGAAGATCACTCTAGCTACTGTGTGAGGAGTGGATTGCTGAGGGGCAAGGAGACCAGTTGTGAGGCTATTGCACTAGTCCAGTTGAGAGATGATGATGGCTTGGACTAAGGTAATGGAGGTGAAGGGAAGTCAAGATATTTGGGATGCATTTTGGATGAATATGGACAGCTGTTGGTGATACTTTGACTATGGGGCCAGGGAAGAAGAGAGAAATCAGGGAGAATCCTAGATTTTTGGCCTAACTAACTAAATAGGTAGGTACCATTTACAAAGGTGGGGAAGATAGAGAAGGAGTACATGAGGGAGAAGAAAAGGAGAGTTCTATTTTCACAGGTCAAATTTGTCTATTACTCATTCTCCAAGTATTCATTGAGTATCTATCAACCACTGCTTTGGGTTCTGGGGATATTATAAACAGATAAAATTGGAGTTTATATTAAAAATATAAGCAAATAAGATATGTAGTGCATAGATGATGGCAAGTGCTGGGATAGGATTTATAGTAAATAGTGTAGTTGTTTCTGGGAAGTCTGTGCTTGAGGGAAGTAAGGGAGCCATGCAAGTATCTGCTGAAGAACCAACTAGATTTCCACCTGGAAGTATCACTGAAGAACTGGATTTCAATTAGAGGTCAGAGTTGAAGGTGTGGGTTTGGAGGTCATGTGCAAAGAGATGATATTTCAAAGATGGGACTAGATGACATCCCCATGGAAGAGTTATAGGTAGAGAAGGGAAGGAACTTCTGTAGCAACCCAATATTTGAGGGTTAGGGAGGAAAGAAAACAGCAGGAGAAACTAAGAAGGAACAACCGTTGGATAGGAGGGAAAACAGGTATGCATGATGTCAGAGAAACAAGAAGAACCATTTCAAGGAGAAAACAGTTAACTCTGTTGGGTAGTGCTGAGAGTTCAAATAAAATACAGACAGATGTGATCACTGGATTTGGTGAAGCTTGTGGATGACCTTGACAAGAGCAGTGTCCATGGAGAGACCGGGACAGAAAGCCATGAGATTAGTTGAGGAGAGATCGGTGTAGACGAAAGAGGGGGAATGATAAGGGTGGAGTCCTTGAGAAGGCCGAGGGGTGGATCCAGGGCCGGAGTGGAGGCTTCGGCCTTTGGATCTTTATCCATAGTAGGAAAAGGGGACACTGAGAGTGTGGGCACAGCTGCAGACAGGCTGGTAGAGTCAGTGATGGGAAAAGAAAGGAGTTCCTATCTGATTGCCTCTCCTCTTCTCCAGGAGGTAAGTTCATTAGCTAAGGGTATTGGAGGAGGGGAGGTCGGAGCGAGGTTTGGGAAGGGAGGAGATGGTACGAAATAGCTGTTTAAGTAAATGCCTGACATGTTCGACTTGCCAGTGGTTCTTCTCGGGTAATGATGCAGTGTGATTTTTACCCCTCAGCCAAGAGGTTAGAGTCCTATCAGGAAGCTGTCTCTGAAGATGAGGATTTTGCAGACTCTCCCAGTGGCTCCCTTAGCAACATGGCGAAACCGAGGGCCCCCAGCTGCAGGACGGTTCATTACGGGCCTTCGGGAAATAAAGCCTCGACTCATCTTGCTGGGAGCTGCTCTGCGCTAGGAAGTGGAGAAGGAGCCAGTGAAGTGCCTCATTCCAGACAGGCTGCTTTCAGTAGCCCCATCGTAAGTGTGACTGTGACCTGACTCTTATCCATGCCCAGTGCCAGAACCTCCTCATTATAACAGAGCCAAACACTCTTGTCTTTTCAACCCGAGAAGAGACCACATAACTGCAGTTCAATGTGAGTGCCGCACATATAGTTAGAAGTATAAACAAACAGCATCATGACTTCCTAATCTGGGGGATAACTTTAGTGTTGAGAGACAATATGTCATTTTAAAAAAAGTCATATTTTTGAGCAGGGCCAGTCATGTCTGAGCCTGAAGAAGGCTGCCTTCCATAAGGACTAGAGCGCAGCCTCAGCAAAGCTGACCAGAGGGGTCTCGTACACAGGATGCCTAAGCCTGGGGTACCCTCCAGGGCCTTTTAATTTTCTGTAATCTCCTCCTAAATCTCACAAAACCTGTGTCCTCGTCCCCATTTCTAGTCCTCAGAGAGGCATTTTTTTATTATTTCTCTCTTAGAACTCAACAGGTGTGCACCTGAGTCCCAGAGGGAAGTTTTAGGAACTGTCTAGTCACACCCATCGGCAAACCCATTTTACTGCAGAAACACGTTGAGGACCGTGTGGAAGACGGGCAAGAGGAAAGATACTCGTGGGAGATAATTAGAAATGAGAAGTTTGGCTGCACTTAGAATTACTTCTATAAAATGTCAACTGCCTCTCCGCCTTCCACATTTCATTAACTCCTGTGTTTTACCAAGAGGAGGTGCTCTCTGAAATCGGTAGCTGAATAGGGATGAAGCGGTTTCTGAGAAACTGTTGTTGCATTGAATTTGTTGTATGATTTTCATAGTAGGGACATGATCTGAGTAGCCCCCAGCGGTCTCATTTGTCCTGGGAAGGCCTTGGGGGAAACCTCCTGGCTCTTTTCAGAGTTACAAATAAAAACTGCAGCACTGAGGGTGATCATCTCAGTGCGTCTCATCGAGTTCATTTCTTTGGTGCTAAGGATATCAAACCTGTCACATTGTATCTTTGCCATATGCCAGCCTATTCCAAACATCTGGACATATTTTTTCTCCAACTTCTTTAAAAAAAGTGTGTGTGTGTGGGGGGGGGTGCACAGAGCATCTATATAATGAGCATGACACATGGCTTTAGAGGGTAGTCCATGTGAAAACGGAATGGGAAGGCTGAGCCTTTTAAGGAGATTCATTTAACAACCTTCAGAAATACTTCATTGAGGATGGTCATGTGAGGCACTGAGCTAGATGTTGACGATTCATGACGAGTAAGTCCTTGCTCTCAAGGAGCTAACGGTGTATGTCAGAGGCGGAAATGAGGCCGATGTAAAGGACCAAGGAAGGGAGGGAATGTGTGCACGCAGATCAGTAGCTGAGAAAAGAGTCAGGGAAGTCTTCAGATCAGAGGATAGTTAAGGCAGTTTTTAAAGGAATAAGTATTTCTTTAGATTTGGTCAATAGAGGTGGGTTGTAAGGGAGAGAATAAATTTTAGATGGGAAATGGTATATATAAAAACACAGACTTTAAACTAAGAAGGAATCCTTTATTCCAAGAACAGAATGAGGCTGGGTCAGGAGACCAAGAGGGACGGTGTGGCAGCACCCCCTGGTTGCTAATACCTTGCTACTGCACATGAGTCAGATACGGTTAATTTGACATGGGTGGAAAATGTAAAGTATTAATAGTGGGAAAGGTAAAAAGATAAAAGAGAACAAAATATGTATTTCTGATAGAGCCTTAGAGTACAAAAAAGAGACTGCGTGCATGCTTTCCCTGTTTTTTTTATATAGAATAAGAAGGTCTTCTTTGCCATATGAGCTCATCTCTCACTCTTATGCTGGACAAGTTGATTTTGCCCTTTTATTGTAGACTAAAGATTATTTTGAGGAAGCGATAAATCCTTCGACCTGGAAATTTGCATCTGTAAAAATTTTGTTCTAGGCCAAGGAGGCAGACATGTAAATAAATGTAACCCTGTATTCATGATGCAGTGATACTGGTTAATACAAAGTATAGTCAGGACACAGAGAAGGAAGTGCTCAACTCTGACGGGGTGGGGAGGGGTCGAGAAAGGCTGCAGGAAGGAGGTCAGGTTGAGTTGGGATTGGACTATGAGTGGGGGTTTCCAGAGTAGAAAAGGAAGGAAAGGCACTTGGGCAGAGGGCCTGTGGCGCATGCAAAGGCTCCGAACCACAGGACGGAAGAACGTGGTGTGAAGGAGGAATTGGCCTTTGTGGTTTTCCTTCAGGTCTATTGTATTTAGGAATCTGAGGGAGCCAGAAGAAGGCATTTGTGTCCATGCTTAAGCTGGAGTTATAGAGGTGGGGTGGTGAGTCCCTAAAACTGGAGTGGGGGTGGCAGTGGGAAATGAAATAAAAACCCGGGGTACAGGTGTAACTGGGGTGGGGGGAAGTCGGGCGCAGAGTTAGAGCTGCTTGGTCAACTTTATCTCCTGTATAGAGTATCTTTGCCTATAATTAAACTGTGGACATTTTAGGATTTGCATAAACAATCAAAGTAGATCTCTGTCACTCTTTGTTTAAAACAAACTTAACATTCAGTAGATATTAAGGCCACCCAAAAGCTTCAGCAAACATTCTTAGAGGGCAAAGGGGAGTCTTGTCCAGGGTTTGCTTGTTTGCTTTGGATTTATATAGAGGGAGAAAGAAAGGAGAGAGAGCCCTGGCTGGTTTGGCTCAGCGGTTAGAGCATCAGCCTTCGGTCCCAAGAGACCTGGGTTCAGTTCCCGCTAAGGGCGTGTTCCTCGGTGGCAATTTGTCCCCCAGCCCTGGTTGGTCGTGTGGGTGGCAACCACTCGATGAGTGCCTTTCACGTCGATGTTTCTCTCTCTCTCTCTCTCTCTCCCTCCCACTCTACCTGAACAAAAAAAAGAAAGAAAGAAAGGAGAGAGAGCGAGAGAAGGAAGAAAGGAAGGGAGAGAGGGAGGAAGGGAGGAAGCAAGGGAGGAAGGAAAGAAAATATGAAATCTGCAGCTTGGAAGGGAGGCATCATAGGAACCATGGGGGCAAATCTAATATTTGGAACAGATATTATGTAACATTAGGACAAAGATATGGGACTCCCTCCAGGAGGCCAGATAAGGCTTTGTTTAATTATGAGCTCTCCACATCATGCTCTGTAATTTCTAACTAGGAGTATAAATTTTCTCTTCTTTGAAAAAAGTCTCTCTGAGGCCAAGTGACAGGGGTTTATGTATTTGTTTCCTAAAGAGTAACATCTTTTTTAGCCTGTTTGTCTACCCCCTTTATGAATGTAACGGCAGCAAATGTTTGATAGTGATGGTCAACAATGGACATTTCTTGCTGATTCATGTGCCAGGTACTGAGTTAGGGATCCAAAGATCAATAAGATATGGTCCTTCCTTTAAAGGACCTTGTAAACTCTTTGGAAAGAGAAGTCCATGTGCATGGACTCACTAATGCAAGATGGTGGGGCCTGATTCTCCACGGGATAGGAGTTCAGAGAAGGCAGAAACTGTCCATCACAACAGAAAAGAGCAGAAGTCAGTTTTGTAATACAGGTCTCAGTGAGGAGGGCTTGGGGCTTAGGAAGCATGTCTACAGATGCAGTCATATAAATAAGCACTGCCTGTGAGGACTCTACTTCCCCCCAGTTCAGCAACAAAACATTCTAGTCACTAGGGCTCGACTTATTTTAGAGAGACCAGCAAAAGTGGAAGAATGCTTCATTCTTCACTTTGATGTGGATCTTTCCTTCAATCTTCTTATGGAATCTTCTTTTATGTATTGTTTTATGATATGTAGGATCTTGTGTGGTCCTGAGTTTCTGGATTTTTCTCACATTTATTTATTTATTATTTATTTATTTATTTTATTTATTTATTTTCCCCCCCTGTATGTGATCCATGTCCTCTTCCCCAGAACACCCTGATAGTAGTTTGCTGGGGTCCTTGGACATAGATGAGTACTCCTCATTCTGTGGGACACACAACTCTCACATTATTTTGACAGTACTTTTTATAAACACAGTTTTGCTGACCAGAGCCCAGCTTTGGCCAGCTCCAATATCCCTTTTATTCTCATGGTTACAGTGCAGACTCTCAGTCATACAGTCGTCAAATTCCCCAAATGTCGTATTTGGATTGACTTATGTCAGTGATGTTTGTCATGAAGACAGAAGTCACAAACCTTTCATTAGTCTGAGATTGACTTCAGACTGCAGTAATCTTTATGTTCTGAAGCCAGTTATTAGTCAATGTGGAGATCATTGGTACAGTGAAATCACTAGCTTCTCTGGTCTCTCACTCAATCCAAATGTGTTCCATGGAACAGACGTCTCTAAAATATAAAATCTGAGAAGCCTGCTCATACTGGCCTCTTCTTAGAGATTACCAGTACCCATTAAGCTCTCTGAAAGTGCTGTGATAAAGAAATCTGTTTAACGTAAACATTTCTTCAACTTATCTCAGTATGAAGCTCTTTGTTTATTATGGGCTTTCCCTTTTGTTTATTTGTTTTGTTTTTGCTGAATATGTATTAACATTCTGAGGAGGATGCCTCTGGAAATATTGCTCCAATCCTGAAGTCTGGTAAGCCCCAGTTGTTGTATAATCATAGGCCTGGATAAATATCAAGCCACAGGTTTCCCAAACACCCCTTGGTTGACTAAGCATTGAGTGAGAAGTCTCTTGGACTTAATTCCTCTCTTCTACTGACTTTGAGGAAAGGGCTGTTCTCTGGGTACTGACGGCCTAGCCCAGGCACCAGCTCTGTGTGACTGTGTTTGAGACTCATGAGGAAATGTGGGCAACTCATTGAGGAAGAGCCAGCCCCCAGATTACGAGTGCCTATGCACTCCATCAGACTGCAACAAGATTCAAATTTTGCTAAAGTCAGATACCACAGGACAGCAGATATAGATGAATTTAGAAAGAAACTTAAGAATATTTTGTAACAGGAAACAATGTGGACCTTTAAAACCCATTGTGAGCCTGGCAACCAGCCTGAAAGTGAATGTGTCGTCCGAGAAAGAAAAGGAACATTCGTTATTTGGGTTCCTGTTATGCTGGTCTCATCCCACCCACTGTCCCCTTGACTTTGTACAGTCACCCTGTGAGGTTGGTGTTATTTTGACCATTATTCGGAGGAGGAGGAAAATGAAGTTCAGTGTTTGCAAGCTGCCTGAGGCCACTAGCTAATAAATATGAAGTGGGTTTAGGACCTGAACCCAAACCCGTATGATTTCCAGCCTGTGCTCTCTTCTTGTTAAGCCTATGCTAATGCTCACTGAACTCCTAAGCACTGAATACATGCACCATCTTCAGAGTCTAATATCACACATCTCTATAATACTTTTCCCTCTAAATCACCTCTCTTGGCTTTCATGCGTTCAGTCTGATTTGCCAGCCAGCTGAGTCTAGGACCCCTGTAGAATACAAGGGCATTTTTGTGAAAGCTTGACTTGAAGTCCCTCTTTCGACTCTTCTGACAAATGCCTAAAGCAGTTGGCTGTCTGTTATTGGATTACAAACAGATTTCTACTACAACATTCTTTGTTAAAACTAGTATGCCTAAATAAGTGTGAGGGCACCGTGTTAAACAAAATGGAGACTCTTTTTTTCAATAACGGAACTTATTGGAGTCAATCTGTACAAAGAATCTTTAAGAGAAGGGTGCAGAGTAGAGTTGCCATATATTTTTGGTGATCAGAAATCTCTTGGAGGAGCCCTCAAGAATGTCTCATAGAAAGTTACTAAGAAATGCTGATTTAATCTGGTAGCCTGCTCACAGTACATTTTATTTTGGAGGGTTGGTTTTTAACAATAGGGGTGACTTGAATCATAAAATATTTTATTAAAATTAAATGGTATGAATAATGTCCTCACTTTAAAAAGAGTTGATACTCATTAGTTGCTGTTGGATGAATCTATGCCCAGGGTAGAATTCTAGACACAATAATACATATAGCTCTAGTACTGTGTATTTCAAAATAGGAAAAACTTATTTAGCTATAGTTTGGTGAAAGGCATTGTCCCTGTGTTCAGTTTGGTTGTTAGTCAGGGTAGTCCCCATTAATACTGTACATTCTGATTTTCCTTTTTTTTTTTTTGTCTTTTACTTCCCTGTTCTCACTTTCCATGATACCATGTACATTAAATCTTTTCTAGAAGAATAAAGTTTATTGTCTCGTGCTTCATATATTCTGGTTGGAAAAGCTACTTCTCATTTAGATTTAAAACTCTCTTTTTTAGAGACTTGTTATAATAACACTTTGTCTTATTGGATCTCCAGGAAACAGATGTGGTACCAGACACCAGGCTTTTGGACAAATTTAGTCAGATTACACCTCAGCTCTTCACCCCACTAGCTGAGAATATCCCAGAACCACCACCAGAGACTTTGTACATCATCGACTTCTTTATTGCTTTGGCAATTTGCAACACAGTAGTGGTGTCTGCTCCTAACCAACCACGGCAAAAGGTAAGGTCTCTAATGCGAGCAGAATTCACCTTTCAGAAGAGATCTTTGGATTGAAATGTGCCTGTAATGGTCTTGCTATGTGGAAAATAATTAATTATGGGCATAGCAGCTAATAATACCAGCCTAACATTTATACAGCAGTTAATCTGTGTTCTGCACTTACAATGTTCTAAGTGATTAATTGGTAGTAACATGTTTAATCCTCCCAACAACCCCATTAGTGAGGTACTATTTATTACTCTGCTGTACTTTTCTGTTTTACAGTTGAGGTTGAGGAACTTGCCCAGACACAGGATGGTTTGTGGGAAGGTGGAATTTGAACCCAGGAAGTATGACTCAGTGCTACTACACTATTTTGCCCCTAGGAGGGCAGCTGTTGAAAGCAGTTCTTCTGGAATGTGACCCTGTTCATTTTGCTTTAGTTTTCTTTTTTATTTAATTAATTTATTTTTGTTACAGATGTTTCTCCTTTTTCCCCCATTGACACCCTCGCCCCCCCACCCCCCGCATTGTTGTCTCTGTCCATTGGTTATAAATTCTTTGGTTTATCTCTCCCCTTCCTCCCCTGCCCCCTCGCTCCCTCCTCTGAGGTTTGTCATTCTGAACCTTACTTCTATGTCTCTGGGTCTATTTGTTCACCTTATTCTGTTCATTGTATCTCACAAATTAGTAAGATCATGTGATATTTTTCTTTCTCTGTCTGGCTTATTTTGCTTAGCATAATACTCTCCAGGTCCCTCCATGTTGTCTCAAAGGACTTCATTTTCTTACCAAACTGAAGCTTACTTTGAGACTTCTGAGACCTCTAACATAGTATGCACTACATCAAGCAAGCTACAAAGTATTGGATTTATTATCATGTTTAATGAGAATGTACCTTTTTCATGTACCAGTTGAGTTAGTTTTAAATCAATCCGTCTAAAATCCAATGCATCTATAATACATCAAGGTTTGGAAATTCCCACAAAAACTGGATTTCTAAAGTCTATTTGTAGCTTAGAATTCATTTTTAATTAAAAATTAAAAGCCTGTTTTGGAGACTGGTGATTCACCACTCGTTGCGCTGGCTCGCTTGTGTATCACTATCTCCCCTTTTGCACACATCCACTTAAAATTCAATTTGCAGCATAACCCAATTAAATTTTCATTTTCTATCAGAGCGTTTTCTTTTGGCAACTTCAGAGGTGGTCAACTTTAACATAAAAATAATTTACTTCCAATTAAAACTTCATTTGATCAGAAACTATTTTTGTAAGATTTGAACTAGAAAGTTGCCCTTTGAAAAGTGATTATGTAATTAGAGAGTAAATTGCTGAATGTTCTGTTTTCTCCCAATTATAATACTTTATATACATCTATTTCCAAAGTAGACATTTTTTGGTGTCTGCTTACGAAATATTGGTGCCTTATCCCCAAAGAATATAATATTCTATGGCAGAAAATAAAATCTCTATAGGTATATAGGGAACCTAAGTTTCATGGTATTTCAAGGTAATGATAGAAAGGCGGTGAAAAGAAGCTAATCAGAATTCTTGTGGAATACAGAAACCTCATGTGTGATTGAGCTTCACTTTGAAAACTGATGTCATGAGTCCCCCAAACTAGCACAAAATTAATCTTTAGAAGAAAACTTTTTAAGTCCTTGGGCATTTCTGAATGAGAACATTTTAGGATCCAATTAATTGCTCTTCATAATCTAACATGCTATTATTGAATACTTAATTTGCTTATAGTTTTTAAATTGTTATTGCTAGGATACATACAATAAAGATTATGGATTTTTCTATATTTTAAATGAGCTCATTAGGAAAAATTGCTAATAAGTGCAAGCACTGCTAGCAATATGAACATTTTATGTCTTGCTGTCGGTGGTCACATTCCTTCCTAAATGGTTGTGGAAATTCATAATGCCATCAACATTAGCATATCTTTTGTATTACGGCTATTTTTAATTTTGTTAATGTTTTCTGTGGCAGTCCTAAGCATGAAGCATGCTGCTGCCTATTTAAGGGGATGGTAACTCTTTGTATCTCATTTTTTCCCCCATTTGACTTCATAGTTGTCTTAAAATGCTTTAGGCTGTATTGTTGAGACCTTCCCAAATTCTTTCCTAGATCCGACTCTCTTCACTGAGTGGAATGCCCATTAAGTCTTTGGAAGAGATTAAAAACCTTTTCCAGAGATTGTCCGTCCGAAGATCAAGTTCACCATCTCTCGCCAGTGGGAAAGAGCCATCTTCTGGGGTCCCAAGCGCCTTTGTGAGCAGACTCTCTCTCTTCAGTCGGATGAAGCCGGCTTCACCTGTGGAGGAAGAGGAGCCCCAGGCAGGCGAGAGCCCTCAGGGTTCCGGTAGCTCCGCCTGTCCTAGGGACACAGAGAAGCAAAACGGTGATGCGGGCATCGCCAGCGGCAAGGTGGACCCCCTCCCTGGGCGGCCCTCGACTTCTGGGCTGTGTTACGAGGCTGAGAGCCCGGATGAGGCGGCCTTGGTGTACGCCGCCCGGGCTTACCAATGCACTCTGCAGTCCCGGACCCCGGAGCAGGTCGTGGTGGACTTTGCTGCTCTGGGACCATTAACATTTCAACTCCTGCACATCCTGCCCTTCGACTCAGTAAGAAAACGAATGTCCGTTGTGGTCCGGCACCCGCTTTCCAACCAAGTTGTGGTGTATACAAAGGGTGCCGATTCTGTAATCATGGAATTGCTCTCCGTGGCTTCCCCAGGTGGGTTCGTCTGGAACCAAGAGGGTAGTGATACGAGGGGCTCAGAGAGAAGACCGCTCTCAGTGGTTTTATGAAGGCAGACCAGCAGCTGTGCGGGGATCAGTCACCTCTGGTGAAGCAGGGAACGCTCACCACGATTGGGAGAGAGCATCTAAGTTTCAGGACTACCCAGACATGGGTTCAAGTGTGGCCTCTGTCATCAGCTGTCTTGATAAAGTTACCTGACTTCTGTGCCTGAGACTTCAATATATGGGGATTCTAGTACCTTCTTTGTAGGTTCCTCAGAGGTGAAACATCATACGTACACAATTATGTAAAGCCCTTGCCCAGTGCCGAGCAAACTGTACGTGCTTGGTGAGCGACAGATGGCATTGCTACAGAAACCATTACTGTTGTTACTGATGGTGTGGAACAGTGTGGTATAGTGCTTGGTATTTCCTTCTCCCCAGAAAGAATGGGAGCAAAGGAGAGATTCATTCTGAGGGCCCCTTTTATAAGTGTACATTTGAGATTCAAAACTACAAAGGCCTTTGGTTTGTTGGTTTTTAGAATATGACTGTACTTGGGCAGACTGGGGGGAACACTTGTTTTGTTAATTATTTCAGATGGAGCAAGTCTGGAGAAACAGCAGATGCTAATAAGGGAGAAAACCCAGAAGCACTTGGACGACTACGCCAAGCGCGGCCTGCGCACGTTATGCATAGCGAAGAAGGTGAGGCTGCCAAGCGCGGCCCTGGCCCTCGAGGTGGTTTGACTCAGGCAGTGGTTCTCAGCCTTCCTAATGCCGCGGCCCTTTGATACAGTTCCTCATGTTGCGGTGACCCCCAACCATAAAATGATTTTTGTTGCTAATTCCTAACTGTAATTTTGCTACTGTTGTAAATCGCCATCGGAAATATGTGTTTTCTAATGGTCTTAGGTGACCCCTGTGAAAGGGTCATTCCACCCCCAAAGGGGTTGCGACCCACAGACTGAGAACTTCTGATTTAAGGGAACCTGAAAGCCCTGGCCGGGTGGCTCAGTGGGTTGGAGTGTCATCCTGTGCACCAGAGGCTCTGGTTTGATTCCCCGTCAGGGTGCCCAGCTGGGTTGCGGGTTTGATCCCAGTTGTGTGCATATGGGAGGCAACCAACTGATGTTTCTCTCTCACACTCCTCTCTCCCTTCTTTCCCCTTTCTGTCTCCTCACTCTCTTTCCCCTCTCCCTCTCCACCCCTCCTTCCCTCCCTCTCTCTCTAAAAATGAATAAAAACATATCCTCAGGTGAGGATAAAAAAAGAGAGATAAAGAGAAGCTGACATCCACTGGGCTGTATTTTTGGGGGTTGATCACTTCACTGGAAAGGCCGAGGGCTCGTTTGCTCTTGAGCTCTCCATTCTTAAGCTGGTGTGAGTGGACGGATGGACAGTGCCCCGCCCCCTCCGCTGCAGCTGCTCCGTAAGAGCTTAAATGTAGATTTCTCCCTCTGTGGAAACCTGAAGACAAAAAAAAAGGTGTCATTTGTTCCTTCTCAAGGAATTCCACTTAGTTTTTATTTGGAACATAACTTTCTTGCTTCCCCAACGTGGCCTGCTCTCTGTTTTCACCTTTATAAATAACTAACCCATAGTCCAACCATCAGAAGACATTGGAGGTGCCACTGACTTTAAACTACCTCCATCTGAACACCCCTGAGACCAGTTTCTCAGCTGCACCATTAGAATCACCCAAACTTCACTAAGTGGAGGCATCTCCCAGCTGCATATTCTGGTTTAATGAAATCGATTAACCCCGTTTCCTCATGTATGGTGCCTAGAATTTCCTGGAGATCCTGAGCTCTTGGGTCTTCATCGTCAGTGTTACGCCAGGCTAATCACAGAACTCGGGAGGCTTGTGACGAGGGCCTTGAGGGTGGGGACCTGGCAGAGTGTGCTCAGGGGGAGGAATACCTCAAATAAGTTGATGGCTCCATGTCTCTGCGGGAGTCAGCCCTGCAAGCTCATGGGCCGGCCTCACAGCGCCTTCTTCCCCCGACAGGTCCTGAGTGACACCGAATATGAAGAGTGGCTGAGGAGTCATTTTTTAGCTGAAACGAGCATCGACAACAGGGAAGAATTACTGCTTGAATCTGCCACGAGGTTGGAGAACCAGCTAACTTTACTTGGTAGGTAGACCATGTTGCATTCTCTGAAAGCAGAATTTTGAAAAACACTTGACGTTTCTAAGTTATTTACCAGTGCCCTTTTTTTCCCACTTTGACGTAATAGATATATGAGTCTGTCCACCCTGTACAGTCTCATTTCTATCCAGCTGCCAATCCTTTCCATTCTCTTCTCCACTGCAGTGAACTAGACTTCATTTGTGTTCAAATCAGGGTGGTCTTTCTCAAGAAGGTCATTTAAAAACCCAACACTGAACATAGAGTACAATGTCAAATAAATGAACTGGTTCAGGAAAAGAAAGCTGAAGTGTCTCGCCAGGCATCAGATAAGTTACTTAATGTGTGTTGTCTGTTTGAATCTGCACAACAAATCTTCATTTTATTCACAAGAAACGGGGCAGAGAGCACTTCAGTGACTTGTCCAAAGTCAGCTGCTGGTAACTCACAAAGCCCAGAAGAAACTCTGGTCTACCTCGTTCCAGGGCCCATGTTCTTTATTCTGCACCTGCAACTGGACTAAGGGCATTTATTCCCCTGCCTTCTCTTCCTGATTTCAACTAACAACTGACACCTCGTGTGTCAGATTGAGCTGCGTCCTGGAATCTTCTGGAGCACTTTTTAAAATACTGCTTCTGATTCCCAAGAATTCTGATTCAATTGTGCTATGTGGCCTGGACATTTGAATTTTTAAAAGCTCCCCAACTCATTCTAAGAGGCAGATAAGGTTGGGAACCACCACCTTAGAGTCTGGAGATCTAGTTTCAGTATAAGCACTAACACACTTAGAGAACAACCTCTGAACCCCCATTCCTCTGGTTCGGAGAAAAACAGTGATCTCACCTAGCATCTGGCCAGCAGAATAATGCTGCTCATGGCTAAGTCATTTCTCAGTGACAGGTGAGCACTGTGGGCCTCATCTCCTCATCGGAAATGCCAAACTCTAAATGCTCTCTGGACCGGGTGCCAGAACATAGTACTTGGCAGCAAAACCAGGCCCGAGTTGATAAGAGTGTTTATAAGTCTTTATTATCCTAATCAGTGTGAACATTTGTAGGTTTTGCTGCAGAAATATGAATGTGCTAGATTACAAGATATTACAAAACACGATGTATGCTAAACTTTTGAATTCCAAAACTTATCTGGTCCCACTTCAGAAAAGGGAACTATGGACTTACACAGTGAAAGAGACTGAAAATAAATATTATGTCTTAATGACAAGAGCGTTCTTTAAAATTCTGCTCTCACCCTTGGGAGTGCCATAGAATGATAAAGTTGTAGAGCAAGGTTACGTAAGTAACTAAAGCAGTTGCTCCTCAATTTACAGAGAAGAAAGCTAGCCGAAAGGAGAACAAGTAAGTTTGACAAACTCATTGATTCCTACAGCTTCCTTCCAAAAATGTTACTTTGTATCTGATTTGGGTCTGGGTCTTCACACTTCCTTTGGGTCCCGGGAAGGTCTGGAGCAAGACTGGGCTGGCTAACAGGGTTCAGCTATAGCCCAGGTGCGCTTGAGCTGGCTTTAGCTCCTCACAAGCCCTGTTGCACTTTGGTGGATTTTTAGGTGCTACTGGCATTGAAGACCGTCTGCAGGAGGGGGTCCCTGAGTCTATAGAAGCCCTTCACAAGGCCGGCATCAAGATCTGGATGCTGACGGGGGACAAGCAGGAGACGGCTGTGAACATCGCTTACGCGTGCAAACTGCTGGAGCCGGACGACAAGCTCTTTATCCTCAACACCCAGAGTAAAGTATGTGTCGTGACACGAAACCAGTCCTTTTCGTTTTTTCAAAGCCAGTGGAGCATTTGTGGTGTATGAATGTAGAGAGAAAGAAAAACCGATAACCATTAGCTCCTTAACAGTTATCTGTTCTACCCAGCAGCCTGGCTCGTGCTTGGGGTAGGGTACCATCGTTTTTCTAAGGGCTTTGTGAAGCAGCAAAATGATTCAGAGGAGTCATTGCTGAATAAAGGTATTAAAGAAAGTTTCTTTTCAATTTTTAACTTTTTCCCCAATTTTTTATTGGTGGGTTACCAGGGATTTGACAAGATTTAGCCCATACTGACCAAATATATCAAGCACTGGGACAGGAATCTACCTCTCTTTCAATTTGAGGGGAGGTGATGATTTCTATTGGAATCAGGTGAATAAATTAATATTTTCTAAAAATAGACTCTCAGGGTAAGCATGCCCTCTAGTGGTAATTCTTATATAGTGCTCCTGAGAATTAAGTTTGAAGAACTCTTTTTTTAAAAAAAAAAAAAATTGTTTTCTTTATTGATATTAGAGAGAGGAAGGGAGATGAAGAGAGAGAGAAACATCAGTGAGAGAGAACATCTATTTGCTGCCTCCTGCATGCTCCACACTGGTGATCAGACCCACAACCTGGGCATGTGCCCTGACTGGGAATTGAACCAACAACCTCTTGGTGCAGCCACACCGGCTGGGCTGAAGAACTTGTTAAGGAAAGGGAAAAGGGACTTGGAAAGATTTTTTTAAGGAAAAGGAACTTAGAGGTTTAGACCCAGCTGTTTTTTCTCAGGCCCCCACCCAATCTGTCACACAAACATTCCAGTCAATAAATAAGTGTTTTATTTATTTTTTTCAGAAGATACCTAGTATACTGTGATAGTCTAAGATTTCTGCATATTGTATAATTCGCTTGGAAAACCTTTCTCAATCCTTCCTCAGTGGTCAGACTTAATCACTGACATCATTCCATGACAGCAGCCTGCCTCTCAAACCCCTGGGGCTTCTCATCTGGATCACGTCGTGGCCTTTGCCTTAGGCTGCCACGCTTGGGTAGCTGTGTTTTTACTATCAGGCTTCAGTCAATGCCCAACTAGACCATATCCTTTGAGGAGAGAACATTTTCCATATTCAACACAGAGTAGGTTCTTTTTGGCAATTGGCAGTGGTCCAGGGACCCTTAACCACAGCCACCAGCCAGCTCTCAGTACCAGCCAGGGGCTGAGCACAAGAAAATGCTTAGTCATTTTAACCACTGAATTGGATGTGCCCTAAGGCTGCTAAGACACAGGTTCGAATACCTAGCCTGCCAGTGACCAAGTATGTGACCTTGGGGAGTTACCCTCCTGAGCCTTTTTCCGTACCTGTAATGTGAGAGTAAAGCCTATTTCATAAGGTTGATGTAGACATTAAGTGAGAAAACTTAAATTGTTTAATGTTTTGCCTGGTAGATTTAAGGGGTTCGATGAACACTAAAGAGGAAAAGTCATCAAATCTTGGTGTTTGATTTTGACTTTGACATTTTTGTGAACAGTAGGATTTTTAGGATTTTGAAATTTATTTGTAAAGATACAATTTATGATAAAAGCATGTAACACTACCAATCCAAGAAGTCTTCACAATGTATCAACTGTGGACTGTTCTAAGTGCAAAAGATGATTTTTTAAAAGTTTTTTTGCAATCAATAGCTATTCTACCCGTGTGAATTTCACACGGGTAGAATAACTAAACCAAACACAGTGAACTCAGTTTGGTTTTATGATGACTCAAGTCCATGCATATACAATTCCAGGCACATAGTAGGTTCTAATGATTTGCTTAAGCACCTAGAGCTGATTACTTGTCAAGCATGCTTTCTGTATTATATTACATAGTACATAATCTGTGCTTATCTACCTATATATTTATATACAGTTGATTATCATTATTCATTGAGTTAAATTATATGAAGTTGTCACGAACACTGAATTAGCAAATAGTGATCCATTACCCCTAGGAGAAATACAGGATTAGGTTCCCGTGAGCCTCTGGTCAGAACTTTTTGTCAATCAGGCAATACATAACCTTGTTGCATGTGTGTTTCTGTTTAAAGATGCCTTATTACGCACCCACCTCACACACACACACACACACACAGATTTGACTCATTAACACTGAGCAGCTCTGTAACTTATCCCTGAATAGACCTTACCCAACACACGTATTTTCTCATGAGGCACGTATGTCATACATAGCCTTCTCGTGCATAGGAACAGTAGCCTTCAGCGCTATACTTGGGGACCATTTTAAACATGAAATCAGCAAGAGAAAACGCAAAAATGTGTCACCAAACAGATATTGAAAAGGATGCTTGTGGACAGTCTGGGAGCTGACATAAGAAGGCACAGCGTCCGTATTCAGCTTCACTGGAAAGGTGCACGACTCATGATTCCCTTTCCATCACTCTGTCCATATCCACAAATGGCTGAGAAAGCACCTTGAGCATTGATTGTGGGATTTCAGATACATTTCAGCAAGTAGGTGAAATCACAAGTCCCACAAATACTGAAAATCAACTACGTGTATGTGTGTGTGTGTGTGTGTGTAGATACACACTTCTGGAATGAAAGTACAGTTGATTTATAAAACTAAACACATACATATGCAAATAAGAGGATAAGACCATCTCTACAGTCAATCTAGAAACAGAAAACTTACACCCGTATTTTGGAGGACACCCACTCAGACTGCATTCTGTACACTGGGCATATCAAGGCTGTGAGTACTATTGGGATTAGATTTGTTCCAAAGGTAAAGGATGCCAGGGATCTCCATTATGCAGTTATTAAGCCTTTGTTGTGTCATGCCTACATATCTACTTCCTTCCTGCCCATCTTATTTTGTTGTGGGTTGAGAATGCTTGATAAAACAGAATTTGAAATAAGTAAATGGCCTCTGAGTGAGGGTTCTTTCGAATAAACTACTTCAGGCTCAGCGCATGAACAAATGTACTGTGCGGATTTCGCTTGGCTCTGTTCTTAGTGGTCCTTTGACACACTTTCTGAATAAGTTGATGTTAGTCTTCTCGGGTAGAATTTATTCAGTGAATATTGATTGAGTGCCTGATGTAACCCTCTTAGGCACTATGAAGGCGTCAGAATTACATGAAAAGAACTTCTAACTCGTGCGGGGAGGCGAGTGTGATGCGCGCCACCGAGGACATCCCAGCCAGCATGTCCGCTCCCTGAGGGCCGGGCTTTGTGTGTTCGTTGGCAACTCCCCAACACCTAGAATGTTTTCTAACGTATAGCAGTTCCTCTATAACTACTTAGTGAATGAATGGTTGAGTGAATGAATACATTAAATCAAGAAGAATATAAAAACAATAATTGCTGATTTAAATTCTGCTCTGTGGCGTGCCTTGCACTAAGAGCTTTGCATGCATCATTTCACTTATTCCTCACAGCGATGTTATGATGTAGACGACATTTACACTTTTTAGATCAGAACCTTGAGGTTACAGGATTTGCCTAAAGTCAAGCAGCTAGTAACTGGAAGAATAAGACCAAAGGGCTCTTGAGATTCACTGTTTGAGAAGGTAAATTGCACAGATGAAGAAATTCTACAGCTATTTCCTAGCTGTGGAACGGGGCATGAGATGTCCCCACCCTTTCAACTGCCCTCCACATACATGCAGAATAGCTGTCAGGGCTTCGAAAGTAACCACTAATTCCCTACATGGGGTTGCCTTGATGTAGTCCTGGCTGGTTTGGCTCAGCAGTTAGTGTCAGCCCGTGGACTGAAGGATTGCAGGTTCAATCCCCTGCCCAGTCGGTGTCATGCGGGAGGCAGCCAATGTCTCTCATATTGATGTTTCTCTCTCTCTTTCTCTCCGTCTCTTTCACTCTGTCTAAAAATCAATGGAAAAATATCCTTAGGTGAGGATTAAAAAAAAAAAGAACAATGACAAATTTAGCTGGATGTGATCACCACGGATCCCCAAGGCTAACTGTCTCTGCCTCTTATTTCAAGGACGCCTGTGAGTTGCTGATGGACAAAATTTTGAAAGAACTGCAGAAGAAGAACCTAGCCTCTCCGGAGCAAGCATCATTAAGTGGGGATTTACACCAGCCTTCTGCCCCCCACGACTCAGGGCTGCGGGCTGGGCTCGTTGTCACTGGGAGGACCCTGGAGTTCGCCCTGCAGGAGAGTGTGCAGAGGCAGTTCCTGGAGCTGACTGCTTGCTGTCAAGCTGTGGTCTGCTGCCGCGCCACCCCCCTGCAGAAAAGCGAGGTGGTGAAATTGGTGCGCAACCATCTCCGGGTGATGACCCTGGCCATTGGTGAGTGGGGGTGGAGCCCCTGGTGCTTCTCATTTTCATGCCATACCAGAGGCCGATCCTTCTGTCTGTTCCTCCTTCTGGATATCTGCTTTCCCTCTGGCTGGCCGTGCTTTCCCTCCCTTAGAGATTAGCAAGGTAAGGACTCGGCCATCTCTTTTAGTCTGTTTTCACCTGCATTGTTTTCAGTCTCAGGTAGCTTCTCCCCTGAAGATGTTAATAATGCCACTGAAAGTTCCTGGGTTTGCATCCCATCCTATTAACACCCTGAGTGAAAAGGTAGCACTTCTTTTTGAGTTTCTGGAGTAAAGTATCAGGATTAGGGTGGAATTTTGTTCAACTATCTTATTGAATGAACATATCAATAAATGGATTAGCCAAGCTACTAGATTCAGGTATTCCTGGACTGTCAGTTATATCAATTAAGTTGAGACATGCACCCATATGTGAACCAATCTGTAAAGCCCAGTTAGCAGATGATGCTGATTGTCCAAGCTTAGGTCAGTCATACCACCTACATTGGGGGAGGAGGGGTTGGGTTTGTCTTAACAAATCTCATGGACTGAGAGTCCCTAAGGAAAATCAGGATACTGTTTGCCAGAAAACAAGTGAATGGTTGATGGGCAGTTGGGAATGACAAGTGTTTATTACCAAGAGGAAGATAATAGCTCCTGTTAAGAAGCTTCTAGTGTGTTGGGGAGAGCAAGAGATCTATAGCGAGCATAATGCTATGGGATGGGTATGACGGAGATGCACAGGGTGGTGGTGGAGCCTGGCACGGGGCATCTGATCTAAAGGGAATGTGAGGTAGATCCCCCAGAGGAGCTGGCCTCCGTGCTGAGAGCAAGGACATTTGAAACCCAGTGAGGTCCAGGTGGGTTGACGAGGACAGTGTTATAAGAATAGAGAAGCGGTCTGGCCGGTGTGGCTCAGTGGTTGAGCATCGATCCATGCACCAAGAGGTCACCAGTTCAATTCCCAGTCAGGACACATGCCCAGGTTGTGGGCCCAATCCCCAGCAGGGGGCATGCAGCAGGCAGCCAACCAATGTTCTCTCTCATCGATGTTTCTCTTTCTCTCCTTCTCCTTTCCTCTCTCTCTAAAATCGATAAAGAAAAAAATTTTTTTTTAAATAATAGAGAAACAGCATGTGCAGTGGCTGGAAGAAGCAGGTTATATCTGGAAAATTAAAAGTTGAGTGGGTGGCATGGCAAAAGGAGGGATCAACCCAGAAAGGTGCCATAGCATGAAGGGTTTTAAGGCAGTATTGAACGTGAGAGTCATCCTGATGGTAGTAGGATGCCACATTTAATTTATACCTAACTGGCTCCAGCGAACTTGGAGACATGGGATAAACTTTGAAGGGTGTGTGTGTTTCCTTGAGGGGTCCGTATTGATTTGCAAAGTTTGCATCATTTCTTTACTCCTCGTATGTTTCTCACCTTTTCTTCTGTCCCGTAAAGGTGATGGTGCCAATGACGTTAGCATGATACAGGTGGCAGACATTGGGATAGGAATTTCAGGTCAAGAAGGCATGCAGGTGAGTGGATGTTGTGCATCCAAATTCCGTGAGCTTGACCTTCCCACCCAAGGCAACACTTTCCGTGGTAAAATCTCTTGTAGAGTGAGGCTGGCTGGTTAGCTCAGGAGTGGGAGACAGGAAGTCTATCCATTTATTTGTTGATTATTTACTGGGTAAATATTATGGTATTTTCTGGGGGAATTTTAGCTCTGTGGTTTACTTGTTCAGTTTAAAAAGTATAGCTAATTTAGATATATTTAGATTATATATATATATGTGTATATTTATATATGTTTATATATATATTTAAATGTATATTTAGCCCTGCAATAACAATGTGACTTTTATAACTGGCAAAATTACTAAGAATTTGAATAAAAGGCCTAAAGATCCAAAAGAGGGAGAAGATAAGAGAATGAGGGCGGTGTAGTGTCCCATTTGCATGTGTGCATAGGCGCCTATGTGTTGGATAGCGTTTTAGGCACAAAATTCAGAAAGAATTTTTTCCAAAAGGCTGCTTTTTGCATATGGAGCACATGTTGAAGAAGATGGGATGTGAGACTTGGGATTTCTCCAAAATTGTAAATTACAGCATCTGGTCAAAAGATTAGAATTTTAAGTATCTTTTTACCTGGCACATTATACAAGGTTACCTAAAATCGTGACTGCAGTTTTGATATTCTCATTGAGGAGAAGTGAATGCACTTCTGTAATGCTAGTGTTCTTGCTACGGGAGCTGCTTTCTGGGGAAAATACACTTGCTGAAATTACATCCTGAGTAGTAACCAAAGAGAAGTTGTGTTTCATTTGACCATATTGGAAAACTGAGTAGTAACCCCAGATAACCCAGTAAGGCTTCTGTAAGGGTTTTGTTTGTTTGGAGTTTTTTGTTTATTTGTTTGGGGGTTTTGTGTTTTGGGGTTTTGTTTCTGTTTTTCTGTTTTTTTGGTCTGCATGTAAGGTTTAAACTACACATTTGACTAATCAGAGGTGGGTGGTGGTCTGGCTGCCATGCTGTGTCCACTCTAACATAACATGTTTGATTGCTCAGGGTGGGTTCTCTTTTCATGCCTGCAGGCTGTGATGGCCAGTGACTTTGCCATTTCTCAGTTTAAACATCTCAGCAAGCTGCTTCTTGTCCACGGGCACTGGTGTTATACACGACTTTCCAACATGATTCTCTATTTTTTCTACAAGAACGTGGTATGTAGCTACAGAGAATTTATTCCTTCCCCCTTCCCACCTATCAATCCTGCTTGCTTAAGGGATGAAAAAGAAGAGCTCTCACAGAGCTCGCTTCACTTATTGATGTGTTGGGAGCAGCCACGAATACCCTTGCTGTCTCACCAGAAATAATCTGGGAATGTGCTATGTTTCAGCTGCTGACAGCAAATTGCAAGGCTTGTCCATCTGCTAACATGTTCTATTCCCTGTGCATTTCAATTCAATTAAGGCCTGTCTGGTTCATTTAAAATTCACTTTTGACCTTCTATATAAAGGTTGTGACAAGCAGGATTATGAAATGTTTAATACTACCTGTCTGTAGAGAATGAAAAGTGTGCTTCCATTTTACAGGAGCTACCAATATATATCTGCTGTCCCCAGATTGATGTCCCTTGTGTTACCTTGAAGATACAGATGAAAAACTGTGATGCCTTAGCCTATAGCTGCCTGGCATTCACAATGCAAGAATTGTCTAGCAAGCCTATAAAATGTGTTTGTGCTTGGTTGTTATTTGATGATAAAGAAACTTTGTTTTGATTATGTAATTCCTAAAAGGGCAATATTTAATTAGATGTTTTGGCTTCTAATCTTTGGCATACCATTTAAATTTCAGTTTTTTTTTTTTCCTTTTAAAAAACGATGTTGATCTTCAATTGCTTTACTGAACTCCCTTCTAGGTGGGGTAATAACATAAATCTGTCATGTTTTATAGATCAAACTTATTCTTAGTCTTTAAAGTCCATATGCAACATGTTAGTAGTAAACATAAATTTATATCACTCTATTGAAATGTTATCTTTGAGGAAAAATAACTTTAATGGGTCATCTTTAGGATATCCTAAATGTGTAATTTAGGGGTGTGTGTGTGTGTATGTCTGTCTGTCTGTCTGTCAGTCAGAGGAGCATTATTTTTCCTCAAGCACAATGAACTTTTTAGGAAACTTGCAGTATGTTACTAATTAGAATTAGCACATCTAGTCAAAGTTTAATAACACCTTGATACTTTATGAAAATTCTTGAAATGTATAGCACCTCTGTCTGAGTGTGGGATTCTGGGGAAAGCTGGGATTTGTAATTTAAAATTCTGGGATTTAGTCATAAATAAATTTTAAAGAGGAGCCCCTCTCCCAGGTTGTGTGTTTTTTTTTTTGTTTTGTTTTGTTTTGTTTTTATAACTTTGCATTTTTCTACCTTCTTTTCAGTAGAGAATAGATGGTAGAAAAATGCAAAGGTATTGAAAGTCCACTCCCCTTCCACCTTCTTTTAACCCCAGATTAAACCCAAGGGTTAAGAAACACAAATATTCGAAAGAAATGTCACATGCTCTTGGAGAGAGGTGGTTTTATTAGCAGAGAGTACCTCACCAGGTATCAGGGACCCTGTGGTCTTTCTGCTCTGTAACCCTTGCTGGCCATTCACTCTGACATCCTCCTGGTTTATTTCTCTTACTTACCCAGCCCAGGAATGCTTTATGAACTACGGAGAAAAGGGCAGGTACTAGAGCCATTTGAGTAGCTTATCTTTCTAAGACTGTGGTTCCTGGGTCTTGGAGAACCTTTTGATACTGATGAGGACTATGGATTCACTCCCCAGAACAGTGTCCCAAACCACATATACCCAAAATGAACATATTTTTAGGAGCTGGGTACCATGTATGCCCATGGACCCTAGACTAAGAAACCCTATCCTAAGGATGTGGCCCCTGTCCTCAGGTGTTCTGGTGTGTCTGTGCTGCCAATGATAACTGCGTTTTAATATCTGTAAGGCACTTTGCTGGTCATGCACACTTGTTAATTGATCTCGATACTAAGCCCTGAGGTGGATAATTCTCATTTTCCAGACAAGGAGACTTAAATTCAGAGAGGTTAGGAAAATGGCCTGAAGTTAAACAGTCAAAAGGGAATGTCCCTCTGCATCCAAGTCCAGTGCCCCTTCCTTCGGCATTTCTTGCTTGAGGGCACAGAGCTTCTGCTATCGTGGACCTAGTTTGTCTGAGACAAAATATGGCAGGAAACAATGCAGGGGTCTATGTCCCTAGCCTCCAGGGTGACCAACTGTCCCGCTTTTCCTGGAAATGTCCCAGTTTGGGCAGTGAAAGTCCCATCTCCTGGGAAGCTCCTCAGTCCCAAGCACACTGGGATTGTCGGCCACCCTGTTGGCTCCATTCCATTCCATCACTAAAAAATTACTGTGAACCGAGAAAGCAAGAGAATGGACGTGTGTTGTGTGCCTGCCACAGACCAGGCACTGGGCTCGGTTCTCTTCACCTAGAGCCAGATGTCCCAGCTTGAATCCTGGCTCTGCCGCTTCTTAGCCGGGTCACACTGGGCATGTGCCTTAGCCTCTCTGGGTCTCAGTTTCCTCATTTGTAAGATGAGGACAAGAATAATTCCCAGTGGTTATGATGATTAAATGAATTCTTTGTGAAGTTCTTGGAACTGCCCGCACCACATAGTAAGTGGTGTATGTGTGTGTTTTAATAAAACATTTGTACCCCACCTCCCCCTAAAAGCTGCACAGTAAGAAGTGGTCTTCCTTTTGTAAGTAGGAAAACTGCACTGAAGTTGTGATCGCACAGTCGAGAATGGCGGTGTGTGTGTGTGTGTTTGTGTGTGTGTGTGTGTGGTCCCACACACATTGCTATTTCTAAGATGCAAATATTCCTTTGTGTTCCTAGGCCTATGTGAACCTCCTTTTCTGGTACCAGTTCTTTTGTGGGTTTTCAGGAACGTCCATGACTGACTATTGGGTTTTGATCTTCTTCAACCTCCTTTTCACATCTGCCCCTCCCGTCATTTATGGTGTTTTGGAAAAAGATGTGTCTGCAGAGACCCTCATGCAACTGCCTGAACTTTACAAGAGCGGTCAGGAATCGGAGGTAGGTGCTAAAGCAGAGATGCTTAGACCCATGCACAGCCTCTGTGGAAGGCAGGCGTTTCTCAGCCCAGCTCCAGTATTGTGGTCCATGCCAAACTATTTGAAACTATTTGAATTATCGGGTCATTTCAGAAGATCTCTGCTAACATGGCAGATATTAAGTTATTCACTTCTGAGATGAACACAAGTAAAATTATGAAAGACCTTAAGTACTTATAATAGAACAAATCCAGTATTTAGCCCTTACAGCTGATAATGTCTAGTATTTACTCAACTCCACTCTGCCATTTATTATGCAAACTACTCAACATCCTGTCTCATTTTTCTCCAAAAACACTCTGAGGGAGGACCTGGCATTGTCCCCATTCTAAGATGAAGAATCTGAACCTCAAAGGGGTTAAGTAATTTTTCCAAAAATGTCACAGTTAGAAAATGGCAGAGCTGGTGCCAGACCACTCTCAGCTTCGTTCCTCCCGAAGTTCAGTCCTCCGGGTTCCACCGTCACACAACTGGAGAGTGATCTTAACGTCCCCTCCCCCTGAAGCCGTGCTGCACCTCGCTCTGTGGATCTTAGAGTCCTGTCGGTCTGCCAGGGACATGTCACTTCTGTCTGTCCGCCTCTCTCCATCCTCCCTCACTCCCTTATGCTCTTAGAGTATTGTAGTTGCAGATTAACTGAGTTACCTACCACAAAATTCTTCTTTCTAGTTCATCTTCCACAAAATTAATAATAACCAACATAAGTATTGCACTTGGGAGCATTTATGTCATGCCTCCTATATGTCAGGCACTGTTTTCTGGGCATAACATACATAAATCTAATCCTCAACATGCCCCTGCAAGATGAAGCTCTCTTTATCCACATTGTGGTGAGGAAAGCCAGGCACAGGGAGGCGCTGAGCACTTTGCCCAGGTCCCAGAGCGAGGGCATGGGGCGGGTGAACCACACCCCCCGAGGTGCTTGGTGCCACAAATCCAGAGTGCTCTCACAAGTGCATTGTCAGCATCACGGTGGACCAGTAGCCTAAAGACACCTAGACATGGACACTGCTGAGGGGTCAGGCTAGTCAGATATTCTAGTCTTGAGAAGAGGACTCTGTTAGTCAAGACTGTTTCAGTTACAAGTGACAAAAAACAGCTCACATTGGCCTAATGAGAAAGGGAAATTAAATGGTTCACATAGCTGCAAAATCCAGGTGTAATAGTGACAGAACACTGTTATTCTTAAAGCAACTGTAAATGTCCTCATGTCCAGTGATCTTATAATTCATTGGCCAAGATGGAGTCTCATGCCTTTTTCTGTATTCATCACTGTGGCTAGAAAGACGGATTTCTCATTGACCAGGCCTGGGCCATGTGTCATTCCTCTTAAGGGCTGAACCACGTGGACAGGACTGGGAAGAAGGGTTTCCTGTAGAAGGACTGGACAGACAGTACTGAGACCCACCATATGAAATCTGTGTGTTGGGCTTCAGTTGCTGTTAAAACAGTGACGCAGATCAGCACATGTTAGAAATTATGGCCCAGCCGGTGTGGCTCAGTTGATTGGTGTTATCCTGTGCACCAAAAGGTTGCTTGTTCGATTCCCAGTCAGGGCACATACCTGGGTTGTGGGTTTGATTCCTGGTTAGGGTGCCTGTGGAAGGCAACTGTTCGATGTTTCTCTCTCTCCCTCCCCCTCTCCCCCCCCTCTCTTCCCCTTCCAGTCTCTAAGTGAGGATTAAAAAAACAAAAAAGTTATGCATTATGTTTAGTGTGGGTTTAAATTCTGTTTCCGTGGTGTGTGACCTTAGTAAGTTATTGAACTTGCCTGCCCTTCATTTTCTTTACTTTATAGAGAAGGTGTGAGGATTAAGGAAGATAGTATGTATAAAAGTTCTAGCTCTTAATATTGTTTTATATATATTTAATCCTTACCCAAGGATATTTTTCACTGATTTTTCAGATAGAGTGGGAGGGAGAGAGGAGAGAGAGAAATATCGATGTGAGAGAGACACACACCAATTGGTTGTCTCCCACACAACCCCAACCAGGACTGGGGATCGAACCTCAACCAAGGTACATGCCCTTGACTGGAATCAACTCTACAGGATGATGCTTCAACCACTGAGCAAAACTGGCCAGGGCATTAGTATTGTTTTATTTTAACTCCCCAAATTAACCAGAAGTTAGAGAAAATCTCAAATTTAAAATGATACATTTATTTTCATGAGTCCAACTTTATTCTGGCTTGAACGGCCCTTCCGGAAGGGAGAGTAATTTAATGTCCTTGGGACATGTGGAGCAGTCAGCACAGAGAAGTCACACTCAGCTTTCAGGCAAGAAGAAGTCCTTAGAATCCCCTACTGTCATCCAGTCCATTCAGATCAACTCACAACATGGGGTTGTCCTAAAGATGTCCAATCTGACTTCAAGTTCAAGGCCAGGATGCAGGAATGTGCAGGTGATATTAGTGAAGGTTGTCCTGCACCCTAGCCTAGGTTAAATTCCAGGTTCACTAGAGAAAGTGGTGAAGGAGGGCCCTTTGGAAGTTTCATAGCTGGTGTTTTAAAAGCTTGTTTGTATAAGCTAAGGATTATATTTGGTCCTTATTCTTGGAAGGGGTGAGGTGATTGTTTCCTATTGTTGAACCCTGCTATCAATCCTTTGCAAACATTGTTCTATTGAGCTGGCCAGTTTTATACTACATGATAATAGGCAGATCCCAGCACATGGCTATTGATAAAAGGTAATTGACTTCATTGACTTTACCTTCCAGGGTCATAGAATCTCTCCTCCAAAGGAGATGGTTCTGGAAGGCTGCAGGCAAAGGCTTCCCAGAAGCAGTTCTCTGTTACCCACCTCTCGTCACCCTCACGGGCTTCTTCTTTGGCTTTGACTTCATGTCCAGATTTTGCCTTTCAGTTTCCAGGAGATCTCATGAGTAACTCCCTTCAGCCTCTCGTTTATCTTGTCCTTGACCCTTCTCTCGCTGCATCCTTCAGTCTTCTTACTCACATGAGTGTAGAGAACTTGTATTTTTTTTTACCTTGTTTCTCTAGGTTTTTTGAGCAACCTTTTTTCCAAGAAGCATGAAGTTGTATTTCAACTTGTCCCCAAATTGTCTCTCTTGTCTAATGGCATTTTGGTTGCCCCTTTGATTCTGCTGTATTCTTTCCCACCATTCGATTGTGCTTCTGCCTGGACTTTGTGGACACTCACATGAAGAAAGGAAGATTCCATCACTCCCATTGAGGAAATAGTAAAAGAAGATGCAGAGGAAATTTGACTGGAAAAAATGAATCCTCATTGTTTGCTTTTCCAGAGGACAAAAAGATTTACCAAAAAAAAAAAAAAAAATAGACATAAAAATTACAAGTGTAGTCTTTTAAAGAGTGGAGGGAAGAATATGGAGAATTTGTTTATTTATAAAGCTCTGTTCTTTAGAAGACAATTGGACATTTTCAAGGAAATTTCAGCCTCTCTTTGCATTTAGAAGGGAATAAAACTAAGAACATGTTAAGAAAATTGAAGACCAATTCAAAAATATGCTACTTGTAATGTCATTGTTGTCCACGCAGGCATCATTAATCAATCATAACACACTGGTCCGAATGCAGCCTCCGAATCCTTCCACACACACATTACCATGCAGTCGAGTTGTCTTGTTTGAAAACCTGTTTTCAATCACTCATGACTAGTGTCTCTACTTGATCTTTCTGCTTCGTTCTATAAGCTTTTGGTACAAAGCAGTTTAACACATGAAAAGTTACATAAGAGCAGTTTATTAATCCAACAAGTGTTTGTTGACTACCTGCTCCGTGCCAGGTACTGTTTTAAACATTTGAGTTAAAGAATCAGAATCCCACTCTGTAAAACTTGCATTCTCTTGAGAACCAGAAAATCATTAGGTAAACACGTAAGATTATTTTTATGGTGATGAGAGACTTCCAAGGATGCTGCGGTAGTAAATGATGGAGTGGGCATTACTGTTAGACTGGTCTGGGCGTGCCTCTCTGAGGAAGTGTATTTGAGCTGGGTTGTGAACAGTGAAAGAACTGGCTGTATGGGAGATCCAGGGCAAAAAATTTCGGGCAGAGGGAATAGTACAGGTGAAGACTCAAGGGAACGATGGATTTGGCATGTTTGAGGAACAGAATGAATTTTACAGGGTGGGAGCATGGGAATGAGGGTCAGAATCATAGGGGTGACCCTGGAGAGCAGGCGCTCCAGTGGGCAGATCACGCAGGCCCTTATAGGCTATGGGAAGGAGCTTAGATTGTATTGGAAATGCAGTGGGAAGTTATGGAGGAATAGAAGGAGGTCACTTTGATTAATTAGGGAGATGGTATGACCTGATTTATAATGATAAAAAAACAACAACATTTGGCTACTGTGGGAATAAAGGTAGGAGAGGAAGCAAAGAGACTAGTTAGGTGGCTATCCAGTCAGTTATAGAGTTGATGATGAGTTAGAATGAAGAGTGTGGTAGAGATAGAGATAAATGAATTTGAAGTTTTTGAAATAGTATTTTCTGACTAATAGGAAATTAGTACTATTCTCCCTATTTGAGGTAGATTTAAGTTTGATCCGATGATTAAAGCAACCCAATTTAAAAGGGTTCCTTCAAGGGTTTTTCCCTCCTGTGAACTTATCTTATTCAGTGTCACCCCACATTCTTCTACCACTATTTACAAACCCCACCCGTTTTGTGAGTGAAAGAATGAAGGGATATGGTTTTCTCCCACATAAGCGAAGTACTGGTTTGTATTGTTCCTCGACTCTGCCTGACCCTTATTAATCTTACTCCCTCTTTAATATCTGTTTCATTTTCAGGCCTATTTACCCCTCACCTTCTGGATCACCTTGCTGGATGCCTTTTATCAAAGCCTGGTCTGCTTCTTTGTGCCTTACTACGTGAGTCCTTGTTCACTCAAAGGATTTGTTATTAATGAATCTATGATGTTTCTTTGTACTTTGTAGCTGTATTAGCATACAGAATGGCTGTATTAGGGCAGATTGCTCACAGAACCAAATTGATTATCAACTGACTAAATTATAATTCCCGCCCCTAAAAAGTATGTGTTAGATAATGGATTCAATTTGGAAAGAAGTGCCTAGTTGAGTCCTCTTAAGTCCTCTTTGGTCCTTCATTGCTTGATAATTTTTGTTAATGATTTAAATAAAATTGACAGTCTGGCTATATAATTAGGTGAGCCAAAATCAGAGTGGCCAAGCCAGAATATGAAATCTGTTATTAGTGCTGGGCTGAGTCTTCCAGGATGACATTAAGAGTATTAAATTTAAGCCCTTATAAATAGTCTCCCCATAAGTAAAAAACCCCGTTTTACAAATAAAGAATGGAAGAAATGTAACTAAGCAAAGCATGTGCAAACATTAATTTAAACATTTAGGCCAACGCCCAGCACAGCAGCGTGACGCAGCCGCCCATCATGCCTACCACCCGGGAGGAAACGGTAGTTAGGTCATGGATGCTGTTAATAAAGTTCAGTAGAATGAAAATGACAACTGTCTCCAAGTTAACAGTTTCTATTCCTGAGTTCTTTATTCAAATAAAATGACTTGACTTTTCTCATGTAGAACATTCTTGATAAACTGTGTTTCAAGAACAATATAGATAAGCTCTCTGAAGTGTGTTCAGGAAAGAATAACTAGAATTTTAAAAGATCAGAAAATTGTATCATGTGAGGAATGATTTAAGAAGTTGGAAACATATGTAGAAGAGGAGAGGATATTTACTTAGCATAGATAGAGACTCAGTTTCGCCATAGTAGCGGTTTCAAAGGTTTGCAGCTCTGTTAAGTGGAACATATTTTATATTTCTCCACACCTTAAAGAGCGAGAAGTATGTGTAAAAGTTTCCAGGAAGATGAATTATGGTTCAGAATAAAGAGAAATTCCAACTGAAAAGTTCACAGATTAGATGGCCTGTCTGAGAGAAAGCGGCCTTTCTTTTCTAGAAATGTTCAGGTTGGTCCTAAATGACCAGTTATTAGGAACAGTGTAAAAGAGACTCAGTGCTCAGCTGAGCTGTAGACTAAAGTGACGATGCTCACACCAGTGAGTATGCACAACTGTCCAAGTTGACCACCTGCTGTCCTCTCTCTGTAGACCTACCGGGGCTCAGACATTGACATCTTTACATTCGGGAACCCCCTGAACACAGCTGCTCTGTTCATCATTCTCCTTCACCTGGTCATTGAAAGCAAGAGTTTGGTGAGTGGATTTCCTGCTTCTGAAGGAGCCTGGAGCTCTCTGTGCCCGGGCAGATGTCTTCTGTTAGCAGTGACCCTGCTGAGCCCTTTGTGCCTAGAAGACGGGTGGTAACGAGGAGAGTGATGACTCCATGGAAGAAGGGTGATCATGGCTGGTCGATTGTTGATTGTTGAGTGCCATGATCAGCAAGGGAAAGGGGAACACACCTGCCTGCTTCCCTTGGTGGTATCTGTGGTGGATGACAGTTCATGGAGGGGTGAGTGAGGCTGGAGAAACAATTACCCTTCTGTGGCCAGCATTCTTCGAGACCAAGACAATGCCTTTCAACCAAAATAAAAAAAGGTGTTATGCCATAATCCTGGTAGACTGACTTTAGTTAGTAAGTGATGGTTTTATGCTTTTCTTATCATGCAAAATAAATATCCTTTTCTTCCTCCAGAATTTCTACCACGCACTTAAATCTAGGGTTTTTTTAACTTAGTTGTTGACTTAATGATAAAGTTAAGCCTTTTCATCAAAATGATGGCAAGGTGGCGGCAAAGCTGGTGTGTGGGATTCAGCTAATGAGTGCTTGACTGCACACTTCCCTTTGCAGACGAGCCAGCCCCCCCACCTCTGCCAGGTGGACTGCCTCTGGGACTGTGGGCGCTGCTCACTCGGTCCTGTGGGCATCGACTGCTGCCGTCAGTCACTGCGTCTCCCGGACCATTGCTACCCCTCTTTGGTCTTCCCTCCTCTGCCCTGACTCCTCCAGCCCTTCTCTACAAAACTCCCAGAATCATCCTTTGAGACATAATTGTATCTTTGTGCTCTTCTTCGGTTAAAATCCTTACATGGTTTCCCGATATACTTGTGATAAAATATCAAAGCCCACAGATGGCCTGTAAGGCTTCACGCGGTGATGCCTCTGTTTCTCTCGCCAACCTCATGTCCACTGTGCATGGGACGGAACCACACTGTCTCTCTGTCAGCTTCTCAGATACTTGAGCTTATTCCACATCAGCACCTTGGCATTTACCGTATCTTCTGAGGGGAACTGTCCCTGATCCCTCTCGGAGCCCTCGTTTTCCCAGCTCATTTTAGGGCTCAGCAAAAATGCTGTTTCCCCCAAGGGCCTTTCCCTAAACATCCAGTTTTCTCTTCTCAGCCTCTTTTTTTATTCATGGCTCTAATAATAATTTATAATTATTAATTTCTTTATGTAATTGTCTGATGGATGTTTCTCTTCTGCATTACATTATTATCTCTTTGCGGGCAGGGTTCACATGTATTTTGTTCACCACTGTATACCAGTATCTGTGGCAAGACTGGCACACAGTATGTGCTCAAGAAACACTTGAATGGGTAAATGAACGATTAACTGACTAACCAGTGACTAGGGTATGTGTCCTCCCCTGATAGTGATGCATTTTAGACAGAAGTAGTTAAATGAGGTTATAGTCTAAAATGTCACATGAGCTATTATTATGAAACGATCATGATTTCTAAAATGGGCTAGAGTATGTTTGGAATTCCTTACTTTGCCATAACCTGCTTACAAGCCTAAAGTATACTGAAAGGTTAGTGTCTGAAAATACCAGGTGAGGAGAATAAAAGGAATTCTAGAATTAAAATAGCATGGTTTTATCTGTTAACTTCATTGTTACGCAGTTGCGTAAGTACTTTTGGTTACTGCCTAAGAAAGTGTCTTAAACTCTGACACTTAAGAGTATTCTGAAGGATCTAACACGTAAAGTGTGTCAGTCTGAATTCACTGGTAATGAGCACAGCAATCTGTCTGGCTAACCTGAGCAAATAGAAAGTGATTAAAAATATCTTGAAGAGCCCAGCTGGTGTGGCTCAGTGGTTGAGCATCAACCCATGCACAAAGAGGTCGCCGGTTCGATTCCTGGTCAGGGCACATGCCCAGGTTGTAGGACCGACCCCAGTGGGCGGCATGCAGGAGGCGGCCAATCGATGTTCTCTCTCATCTATGTTTCCATCTCGCTCTCCCTCTCCCTTTCTCTCTCTATAAAGTCAATAAAGAAAAAAAAATTTTTTTTTAAATATCTTGAAGAGCCATTGTAAAACAAACAAACAAAATGAAGACACCCTGAGGCAGCACAGTGGCTCTGGGGCCCAGGGGACAGAAGGTAACGGGCAGGCTGGCAGGGTGGCTCTCGGTTCCGAACCGGCTCCAGCCGTTCTCCTTCTGCTCTCGCCTCGTTGTGCTCTCCGTTTGTTCCGTGGTGACGGGTTCCGTGTCCTTGGCTCCCATCGCAGGCCTGGCCAGAGGGGGCCGTTGCCAGGACGGCGCGTGACGCCGGGTGTCCTCACCAAGGGGGGAAGCACACGCGAAGCACCAGGAAGAGCCACGGCTACTGTATGGAGGGTGCATCGTTCGAGTGTTGTTTCTCGGGCCAGAAGAAGTAGTTCTTTAATCATAGTTTCTCCCTGGCATAAGAATTCGCTGTTTGTTACGCCCAGGGCCTCCGGAGCTTCCTTGTCAGTCAGGCAGCCATTCGGAGACTCGGAGCCGGTTCGCCTTTGCCTCTTGCTCACATCTCCCACCGCCTCCACCTCCCTGCTGGTTTTCACCCGGTTTCCCTTGACTGTGACTTCGTGTACCAGTTTGCTCTGATGTGTCCACCCCACGAAGGCACTGTCTCACCCGCCAGGGCACATGTTCACCCTTGGGCAGCGGGGCTCAATGGAAAGGAAGCCCTTTGAGAAAGAAAGCAAAAGACATCATTGTTTTAGAGGTGTGATGATCTCAAGGATTTAGCCCACATTTTCGAAGCAGTTTGTACTTTTTTTTTTATTCTCACCCGAGGACATTTTTGCATTCATCTTCAGATAGAGCAGGAGGGAGAGAGGGAGGAAGAGAGAGAGAGAAACATCGATGTGAGAGAGACACATCAACTGGCTGCCATCCACACGACCCCAACCAGGCCAGGGACAAACTGCAACCGAGGTACATGCCCTTAGTGGGAACCGAACCCGGGTCTCTCTGGTCCGCAGGCCGACGCTCTAACTGCCGAGCCAAACCTACTAGAGCAGCAGTTTGTACTTTTTACAAAAAAAAGGGCACTCTTTGTGACTCCTGTGAAGATACCGACCATGGGAAATACTTTGCAAGGTTAAGCGTGAAGGAGAAAATTGCTGCTTGAAAATTGTAACAATGGAAAATAAAAAGATGAGTGAAGGCTTCCCCAGGGCCTGCACCGAGCTCCGAGGTGTGCAGGTGACGTGGGCGGGGCCGCGTGCGCAGCTCCGAGCACATTGCAGGCTGCCCGATGCGGAGGTGCTTTCCTTGTCGTACTTCGGATTACGTCTGAGAAGACGTCTGTTTGGGGCTATTAAGTTTTATCACCACGATTCTTGCTTATTTCCCTTTGTAATAAAAACAGACCAGTCTCCAGACTCAGCACTATTGTGACATGTAATGCTAATGTTACATGTAAAGTTGTAAATCTGCTGCTTTTTCTAGATAAAGTTAATTAAGAAGTGAGCTATTTTAGAGAAAAATGTTTTTAATAAACAGGATTGCAGGCTACACATGGATAGGAAGGTGGCTAGGTTATGCTGTGATCCACAGAGACGTATTTCTTGCATGTGTATAGTTGACGAAGGTTCTAGACAGCTCTAGAACAAGTGTTCTGAGGGGTGGCCCAGAGCCTTGCCCTCTGCCATCTGGATTGTTCCCCAGGGGAACTTCTTGGTCAACATGGCAGGAAAGGAGACGGCACAGCAAACTGCACCCCAGCTCCTCCTTCCAACCCGAACCTTGTGCGTGGCCCTTCATTCACACTGCAGTGCTCACAGCCAGGCGCGTGGCCTGGCTTGCTTTCACGGGAACGGGCTTAGTACAACCCTTCCGAAAGCTTATTTGGGGGAAAGAATGAGAATACTGGTGAGCAACATTTACCGCAATGTGAATGGGCGAAGTTCGAGGTTCACTGGATTGAGGTATTACCTTAACGAAGACACAGACGAGTGAGGGAGACTATATGAGAAAAAATTAAGGAGAAAATCCAAACACCTCATGGTTCTTAGACAATACCGAATAAATTAGTCATCAGAATTACCTTTTGGTCATTTTGACTTAGTTCTACAGAATTTAAACAGTGACGCGAGCTGTTCATGGAAGATGCTCCTGTCTTAGCCCTTCGGCATTTTTGTGGTTGTTCATCGAGGTGTCTTACGCAGTTCACCCACTGCTTAGACATATGTCTCTACAACGCAGCTGCAAGACCCTGCGCGTGAGGGGGCTCATGTCCCTGTGCTTCTTGTCTTGCAGACTTGGATCCACATGCTGGTGATCGTTGGGAGCATCTTGTCTTATTTCTTCTTTGCCTTGGCCTTTGGAGCCATGTGTGTGACTTGCAACCCACCCTCCAACCCCTACGGGATTATGCAGGAGCACCTGCTGGACCCGGTGTTCTACTTCGTCTGTGTCCTCGCAACCTGCACTGCCCTTCTGCCCAGGTGCGTTGTAGTGGCCTCAGGAGAGTAAGTGAAATCAGAGGCTTCGCGTTCTCCAAGCACCTGCTAAGACTGGGTGACAGACCATCCAGTCTAGCAGTGAAGAAGCCTGTGTGCTAGTTCAAACATTGTTTTTAACCGTTTTGCCAGAGAACAAAGTGGCTTACGCATAGGGTAGATTTATTTCTCTCGTGGAAAACTCTAATCTGGTTGGTAGTCCAGTTCACAGGGATAGGGCAGCTTTGCTTCTCAAGGTTATTCAAGGACTAGATTCTTTCCTGTGTCTCTTTGTTCTGCCGGCTTCCACTGCCCTCATCTGCATGACTGAAGGTGGTTCACTCTTAGCACATCAGCGCTGCTGCCCGGGAGAAAGGAGAAAGAGAGAACAGAGAGGAGCCATCCCTCCCCTCCCCTCCCTTCCCCTTCCCTTCCCTTCCCTCCATTATGGTCTCTCTCCCTCTCTCTCACGGTATAACCCAGAAGTTGCACACATCATTGCTCATATCCTATTAACTAGGACCTTGGTATATAGGCTCTGAGAGGCTAAAATCTGGGGATTTCTAAGGAAGGAGGAGGAGACTGGATCCTGAGGGACAAGTAGCAGTCTGCTGTAATCGGTTAACACCCAAAACTACAACTCTCCTTCCTTATTTGATTGTGTCTGTCCTTCCCATTTTAGGTCAGCTGATGTCTAGTGTGGCATGGGATGGAACTGGCCGAGACGTGTGCCTGGGTTCTTAATCTGTGGATTCTGTAAACTCTGGGAGAGTTCCTCCTCTTGACAGTTTTATAAAGTCCATCTGTGCAGCTGAAAACACGATAGCAAATAGTTGTTCTGTATTTTTAAACAAGATATGAGAGTCAAAATAGTGATTTCATATTATTCTCGAACTGGCCTGCTGCCTGTTTTTGCAAATAAAGTCTCACTGGAACATGGCCATACTCATTAATCATTGTCTGTGGCTGCCTCTGTTCCACAGCAGAGCTGACTGGTCGCAGCGGAGGCTGTCTGGCTCCGAAGCTGCGGTGTGCCTGCCGGGCCCGTGGGGACAGTTTGCCAACCCCGACCTGTAACACTGTCGTAAGGCACAGTGGCCACAGACCTTTGTTGCTAATCGACAGCCTTGTAGAACTGCACGGGGAAAGCCCACCCGAGTCTTTCTGTGGTGGTTAGCGTTGTATACTTAACCATGACTCTGAAACGGGGGTGCTTCTGGAGTGTTTGCTCAGGTATTACCTGCTTTCAGATTAAAAATACCGATGAGATGAGCTTGTAGAACTCATGAAGGAACAATTACCTTAAACTCATAGCCTTCACAAATTCCTTCAAGAGTATTAACTGCGGTTCTAGCTGATATTGCTGTGGTAGGCTGCAAAAATGACCACCTGGAAAATCTCCACGCCCTAACCCTAGAACCTGTGAAAGTTAGCTTATGCAGCAAAAAGATCTTCGCCGATGGGATTAGCTTAAGGATCGAGACGGGGAGAATATCCTGTACTGCCTGCGTGGGCCTCAGATGTAATCACAGTGTCCTTATAAGAGAGAGGCAGAGGGAGGGCTGACAGAAACCAGAGACGGCACTGTGACCATGGAGCCAGTGTCCTTGGCCATCACCCGAGGCATGCAGACAGCCACCGGGAGCTAAGAAGCAAGGAGTGGATTCTCCAGAGGGAGCATGGGCCTTCCAAACCTGGATTTGGCCCAGAGAAACTGCTGTCAGCATCCCTGGCCTCCAGAGCTACGAGGGGATACATTGCTGTCATAAGCCACTAAGACTGTGGGGACTTGTTACAGCAGCCACAGGGAACACATACGGGTTTTGAAACGGGGGAGATGGGTGCTGCTGTGACAGATACCCCAAAATGCAGAAGTGGCTTTGAAACTGGGTGGTGGCAGAGACTGGGAGAATTTTGAGGCACATCATAGAGAAATAGTGGACTCCTAAACAGACTGTAGGTAGAAGTGTGGACATACATTTTTGCTGTGAGGATTCAGAAGGAAGTGAGCAGCATGGTGGGGAAAGCCTGTAACAGCTTAGAAAACGTGTATTATCATAAACAGAACATTGCTGGTGATATGAAATTAAAGGCACTGCCAGCGAGGACTCAAAATGAAATTAGGAACAGGGTATTGGACATGGGAGGTGAATGGATCTTGGCAAGACAGTGGCAGACAATGTAGCTGAAAAACGCTACTGTTATGTGGAAGCAGAATTTGTAAGTGGTGAACTTGGCTGTTTAGTGTGAGGAAATTTCCAAGCAAAGTATGGAAGGCCTTGCCTGGTTTGTTCTTGTTGCTTATGGTAAATTATGAAAGAAAAGAGATGAGAGGAGAACTGTTTAGTCACAAGGAACTGGGTTTAAGAAGTCCTCAGCCTATCCAGATTTCAAAAGCTGCAACATCAGGAGATTGATTTTGAGGAGTACACTCTAGAGAGGCCACGTGTATGGTTGGACAACCTTTTGCTAAAGATTAGGAGTGTGATTCATGGGTCCCCTCTACCATCTCTACAGCCATCAAGAGAGGAGATGGGATCGTACGGGAAAGATCTGTGGAAGACCCTCTTATCTAATGGCGTAAATGCCCATGACATACATTGGTGACCCACGAGGTTTCTGAGAATGCTATAACAACACAAACATTGCCAGCTTGAGGACGAGTTTGTGGTAATTTGTTACAGTAGCCATAAGACATTAATAGCTAACATTTTTTTGAACACTTGCTATGTGCCTGCTTTACATGTACTTTCTTATTTAACCTAACATGACGCCTATGATGTAGCACTATTGGTATCTCTACCATTATAGGTTTTTGTTTTATTTGTTTAACAAGCACTCATAAGGCACTCACTTTTTCTTAAGAGCTTTACAAATATTAATTTCTTTAATATTGTTATCATCTACATTTTATATTTTGCTTAACTCCCTTTTACCTCAAGGCGGCCATAAGACCCTTTTACTATTTCTAAATTGGTAAGTATTTTTTTGTGTTCTGTGGTGCATTTGAGGTGAATGTAATTCTGTGATGCTTTTGTAACCTAGGTTTATATGCCGAGTTGTTCAGGGATCCCTGTTTCCGTCTCCACTCCTGAGGGCTATGCACTTTGACAGACTGACTCCTGAGGAGAGGATTGAAGCCCTCAAAAGGTGGAGAGGGGCTGAAAAGATGGGGCAAGTGACATCTAAGTATGCTGACCACCTAGCTGCCAAGTCAGAGAGAGGATCCACGTGTGGCCCTTCTGCTGTCTTTGCAATGACGTCAGCAACTTCTCGTGCTGTTGAGCAAGGAAACTTATCTGTATGTGAAACTGCTTTAGACTCAGACTGCTCTGAAACTAAGACCTCAGGGATGGCTGGACCCTCAAAGGGCTAAAAACAGGACACCCTCTTTGGAGTTGCAAGTATTCCTTCAAGTTTGGAAGAGGAACTTTGAAGAGGCACCTCTACCAAGCAAGAACGACTTGAATTTTTCCTGAAGGGTCATGAATATTTTACTAGTGTGGAGAAGCCAATGTGATGACTTCTGTTGTATACGTATAGATACATTTGTAAAAGAGAATAAAATTTGACCTGGACAGAGTTTAGGGAAATAAAATATTTAATTCAGAACCAAATGCTTTTATGAAACATTTTGGAATTTATAAAAGCATTTTAATTGTATTAGACATATAAATGTTTTCAAGGAGATTCATTTGAGATATATTTATTTTACTGTGAGATCTCAGATTCCAGAGAAATGCTTTGAGCAGACTCCAATCTGATTTGATTTTCTTTATTAAGAAAAATAAGTAGTTTTAGATTCATTAAAGTTCAAAGTTCCACATGAAAAAATATATATTATAAATGGTTAATTACCAGAGGAAAATAATTCCAAGAGCCCTTTAAACCTAAAATAGGATAATGATGATACCATTTAAAATATAGTTGTTATTAATAGCTTTTGTTTCCTATGAGAGGATGCTTTTGGTCTTCTGACTGAAAGTGTTAGCATACCTCCCATTTCAGTGTTCTCCTGACACGGAGTCTTCATACGAAGGGGCAAGCGGGATGCCAGGGTTCCACTGGGTGACGGGAACCAGCTTCCAGTCAAAGAAAGACCTTTCTGGGGGTCTGCCCGTGTGCAGATGTTAGTTGGGGAACAGAAGCCATGGGAAAGACAGGCAGAATCAGCTAGCCTGTAGCCAATTAGGCAATACCCCGTGTTCCACAACTGACAATAGCCTGATCGGAATGAGACAGTCAATGTCAAAACCATCTTCAAGAGGCCATTTGCAGGTTCATAGTCTTTACAATACCATGCAACCTTTCTGGTGTTGTAACCTCTAAAAATGAGATTTGAATTAAGACTAACACGGATGGTTCTCAGAAGGATTCCATGAGATTCTTAGAAAAAATTGTTTTTTAATACATTTAGAATAGGAATATGTGTAGCAGGTTAACTGCTGTAGCAAATCGTGTACGCTGGCTTTCGTTGGAACACAAAACTAGTTTATACCAAGTAAGGCCAGCTGTTTATAAGATCATGTATTCTTGTTGAGTTCTTGTAAAATTCTGTATCTGTTCATCGGAAAATTGTCAGCCGCCAATTACCTAGAATTTCCTTCATGAAATCTTCACACTAATGTTTTGTTTCCTTATCAAAGTTGTCTTAATGACAAACTGTTGTTCTCAGGGCTTTATCTTCTACCTGCCGCCCACTGTCCTGTAGTCTTCTATTATTATTGCAGATAGTCTTTTATAGAGACCCATCTCCAGAACTTTCAAAATCCCGCGTAGCTAACGGAAGTTGCTTTCTGCTTCCTCATATATTTTTTATTTTAAATAAACGGTTTAATAAATACTGTGTGCTGGGAAACTGGCATCACTCCTGTAGCTACTCGCTGAGCCCAACTGCAACTGGCACCAGAGCTTAGAAGGAAAATCCCAAAGTACACCTTTTACCAGCATATTGTTTTGGCTTTTCCTTATATGGAAAAACCAGGGATGTTATATCGTCTGTTATCCTCATAGTAGTTGGCATTCATTCCCTGAGATAAGTCTTCTGATAAATTAAAATATAGAGATATTTTTATGAATAAATAAAAGGTTAGAATCTAAAGATAAAAGGAATGAGCCAAAAAGACTAAGAAAAACTGTCAAGTATCTGTACATGTGAGTAGATGAAACTCTTGAGTGTCCATGTTATGGGCCGCAGTTCCACAATTCCAAAATCCCAAGAGCACTGAAAACTGAACATTTTAAAAAATAAATTAGACACAAACTCAATGCCCTGAACAGAGGTGAAGCTATTTATATACCTAGTATAATTTATGTATTTGCTACAAAAATTATATTTTATTGCTGGATGTTAAAGTGTATTTTTTAAATTTTGAAAAATTCTGGGTTCTTAAACACACCTGGCCCTCAGGTGAAAAAGAACTGGGATCTGTCTTAAGCCTTTCAATGATCTCATTTACTGAACTGTTGCATTTGGATTTTCAGCATATTTCACTGAATCTTGAGAGATTAATGTCATTGCTTCTAGTAACGAAAGAAAAGTGATTAATAGTATACATTTTGGGATGTAATTTTACCCCAAAAGACTTATGAAAGAATTGGACCAGTTTTCCAAATGTGCTCTAGACATTAAAGAGCCTTACACTCTTACCAGGGCTCAAGCTTTCCTTGGACAGTCAATGGGTAATTTAGGAGTTTTAGCAATCTCTAACTTGAGACTAATCAAAGAGTTATCTGTCATCTAAAATAAAAGAACAGCCCTGGCCTGTGTGGCTCAGTTGGTTCAGTGCCATCCTGTGCACCAAAAGGTTGCCGGTTCGATTCCCTGTCAGGGCACATGCCAGGGTTGCAGGCTTAACCCCCAGCAGGGGGCGTGCAGGAGGCTGCCGATCCATGTTTCTCTCTCTCTTCCTCTCTTTCTAAACACCAGTAAAAACATATGAAGAACATAAAAGAGCATGTTCCTGTGAAAGTCAGATATAGGACAGGTGTTTTGATGAGTGCCAAATATATTGGAAGACACAATTTTCTGGGACTTGTTATTCATGCTCCATATACACAGGGGAAAAAGATTATACCATTTTATTTGTAGCAATGGTTACTTAAAGTACAACATGTACATTTCAATTAACATACGTTGAGCAAGGCTGTGAGTAGTTACATTAAGTATGTACCTACAACTAGAACAAAACTGACATACTGACATATGTTCTTCAACTTTCATACATTTGTGACCAAAATGCAGTTGCTGGGTTTCACATTCTCAGTTGGTTTATACAAACTACAAACAAGAGATGGGTAGCATGGAAAGTGTCCAGACAACTTTTTGAATTTCAAATATGTGTACACATAGAAAAGAGTACAAAAATACAGGTATAAAATGCAGGTGGCCTCCAGGTGGGATGCTGACGCAGTCCAGGGTGCTGGTGGAAGTTAGTGGAGAATCCTACTTGTTCAAAAGGCGTTTGGATGTTGCAAAATGGGTGCCTGGCTTATTACATCAGCTACAGGTGATGATTTGTATTTTGAAGCTGTTCAGTGTGGAAAAATAACCACTAATCACTTCAGAAACTGATGTGGGTGAAGTGGCCTAGTGCTTAAAAGCATCTTTAAAATTTCATCTTAATTATCAATGGGAAGAGATGGCAGCACCAGATATTAAACATCTTTCGAGGGAAATGACAAAATTATGCAAAGTTTTCCTGTGCTTTGAGATACAATTCTGTATTTGTTAGTATGGACAAACAAAAATATTTAATTGAGAGGAGGGTACAATTTCTTTTTTTTTTTTTTTAATTGCATCTCTCCAGTCTAAAGCAAGTTCTCCTTTGGCAAAGTATCATCTCAAATTCATTGTCACATAGGAGGAACAAAATAAAAGTATTTCCCATGGATATTTTCCCAGTTGCTGAAATCTCAGTCAGCCAACTGATGGACACTGAACACACACCAGCTATAGGGATGGTTCTATGGAGACTTTTCTACCGCATTACAACCTTGGCTTAAGCTCAGAATGGGCAACCCTGCAATGTCAGTGCGAACACAGAAGTCTACAGAGCTTTGCGTTCAGTGTGTCTGACGACTGCAGCCACCCACAGGTGAAGCTCCTTGTCCTTCACCTCTGACTGTCTTTCATAAGAGTTCAACATTTTGCAAACTTTCGAGGAGTAATAGGAAATAATTTAAGCCTGGAAATCATCTTGGCTTTTAATAAATCAAAAGCAAGTCACCAGTGTTAATTCGGAGAGCTGCCGCTATGCTATTGTGCTTGAGAAACAAAAGCTGGCAAAGATCAGTCAGCGCGGATCTCAGCGTCCTCTGGGTGACTGGACAAGGGGCCTTTAGAAGTTGTTCCCCTCACGCCTGCCTTACCCTAACCCTCCAGAGGTGACAGTTTTGCATTAGCAGTCAAGGTGAGGCTAACAGAACAACCAAATCTGCTTTGCTTCTTTTTTAAAAAAGACTGTCATTGAACATGAAACAAGAGAAAAAGAAAGCCAGAAAAAAAAAAAAAAAGAAGCTGATAACATCAGACCAAACACACATGGGCGCGTGCAGTGCGCTGCTGAGCATCGCTGTCCCCGGGGTCGGCAGGAAGCGCTCCGCGGACTAGGGGCCCTTCCCTCTGAGAGTCGCTGGCTGGCTGAGCATCTCTGGGATTAGCTCAGGAGGAAGGTGTGAATGTATATCTGTCTCTCGATCCATTCGACGAAGTAGGACACATTGCTATAGACTCCAGGCCCCAGGACTTTGGAAAAGCAGACGGAGCCCCATGAGGTTAAACCAAATAATGTCCACTGCCCTCCAGGCTGCTCACAAACGAGAGGTCCGCCGCTGTCACCCTGCAATGAACAACACTGGGCGTGAGTCACTGGCATTTCGGAGCCCTAACCGTGTCCGTGTTATCCTGAGGGCACAATAAAGCCAAACCCAGCTTAACCAACCTTTTGAAAAATTTCAACAAAGCTTTTATTGTCAGCCTGTGGAGAGAACACTCTTTCTACTACATAAATAGGACTTCCAATGGACACTTTAAACTCATTTTCAAAGGATAGGGATGGCTAGGCAAAGGACTCTCTTCTTTCTTTCTGTGAAATCAGAAGACATTTTTAGTCATTTCTCATACTTATCAAAGTATGTCATACTTTTTTAAAAATCTGTTGTATCAGAATCAAGTCTCTCATAATCATATTCTTTAACTTTGATCCATTTTATAAATGTGGAAAGTACCCAAAATGGAACATGTAAATTTACTATGTTCAAGATTCTTGCTCTGTGAGCAAATGCACTAAGTAAAACATACTCAGGAACCACATACTGCATTTCTTAGTGGTTTTTAGGACCTTTTCAAGTAGCATGCTTGAATGCAAAATACCACACAAGAACGATTACCATAAGGTATTTCATTTATGTGTAGCCTACATTTCATTTCATATGCATGGAGATTTTTATTCCTGATATTTATGTTTAGGTGCTGAACCTGAGTTTTATTCAGTCCTTTTCCATATGTAATTCATCTTAAGACACAATGACTTACAAAGTATTTGCTGCGTCTGAACGACCAGAGTAGGTTAGAGAGTGTATTCTGCAGTGCCTCCAAAGGGAAGGATTGGTACCTTAGAAAATAAGGACGTAAATATGGTAGAAATTTACAAATATTCCTTGCCCTGGGCAAGAGCTTCAAACTTGGAAGTCCATCTATGGTCATTCCCACTTGGCAACATCTAAGAACAACAGTAATTATGTTTGCTGATGCTTTTCAGAACATTCTCCCTCTATTAGACAATTTAATCCTCACACAATCCTTAAGAGTTGATAATCATAATAATTTGATAATAATGTAATAAAATAATAATTATTATTCTTTTTAGAGATCATAAAAACGAAGCATTCCCTGGCCGGTTTGGCTCAGAGGTTGGAGCGTCGGCCTGCTGACCAGAGTCCCGGGTTCGGTTGCTGCTAGGGGCACGTACCAAAAAAAAAAAAAAAAACGAAGCACAACAAGTTTATGATTTGTTTACTGACAGCCACTCTATTACTACTGGGCTATCTTGCTTCTTAGAAATGTTAGTCAATATGACTGCTGTTAAGGCAGAATTGAATTATTGATTGTGCTGTGTACTTTTGTGGAGGTGGTGATCTTTACATTCATGAATCACCAATGCCATAAGGCAAAGTAGTGAACGTAGACCATGCAAGGGGCTGAATCCACTTATTCTGCCTAAAAGCCTAATTGAAAAATTTTAAGCAAAATTTACTGGAAATGTTTTCATCATGCATATTCCACAAAATTTTTTTATCTCCCCTTATATAGAAGGAATACTAAGATGCTGACTTGGTTAGGTTGAGCTGTTTATAATGCCAGAGGGTGATTAAAAGGAACATGGTTACAGGTCCACACTACACTTCCAGATCAGAAATATAGCCAGATGATTATTTAGCATCTCCTCTTTGCAAGGTTCCTGCTACGGTCCACACAGATGAAGGCATTGTTTTTGTCACAGAGAGGCCAAAGGTCCTCTTTGGTAACACGAATACCTTTACATGAAAGCAAAATCCAAGGACTATAATAAAAGCATCTGCGGAGGACTGAATGATTACGCCCCGCTGCAGAGGAACGGAGAGTGCCTTCCTGACGAGGGGTTTTCAGGTCTGCTTAGAGAGGTGGTGCGCATTCGTAAGGTAGAAAACAAGAGGTGCAGAAGCAGCCATTCAACACGACAGGGAGAATCAGCTGAGGCACCATTTGTCTGGTCTGTCTGTCTGGTCCTCTTTTCCTCTTAGTAATGTTGGGCTTTGGGCCAAAGTTAATGTTTGCCTTCCCTATTGATCCCGATGATTTCTAGACCTTAACAGAGGGACCCAGGTTTCCAACGTGTCCCATTGATAAATTGGAAAAATAATGAGAGGTTCTAGTGAACAGTCTTGCCCCAGACCTAGTCAAAAGCAGCTTTTGTTTATTTTGTGGTTTGTTTTATTTTCTACCTGGAGTTGAGGGAGAGAACCTCTGCGTTTAAGAAGCCCACAGCGCTGAGTTCCCACTACTAAGGTTGGCGTGACTTGGCTCCTGTTAGACGTCATGATGTGAACACGCCTGTGTCTATGCACAGCCTTCAGTCCTTCGAGGATCACCTTCCTGCCCCTCCTGTGGCAACTACCAGAGAGGAAGAGGTGCTGCTTTTCGGCAGCCCCTCCAAACCATGTTGGAGAAATGTATTCACATGAATCACTGCCACCAGAAAGCATAGTGGCCCAGCACCTGGGGACTGAAGCCAGACTACCTGGCTTCATAGCCTTACTTCTACCTTTTGTGCTGGGTGATATTGGGCAAATTACTTAACCTCTCTGGTCCCTTCTTTTCTTGATCTGTAAACCAGGACAAACAATGATACTGCCACAACAGATGATTGTGAAGATTAAATGAGTTGTTGTCAAGCATTTGGAAGAGATCCTGCTACACAATACGCGCCAAATGACAGATGTTACTAATCATATAGTCTTCTTCATTGAGAGTGTATGCCAGAAATCACACAGATATGTGAAACAGGGGCTTTCGCATACATTAACTTAGTCCTCAAACCACCCTGCAAACTAGACTCGGTCCCATTTTACTCATGAAGAAACTTTCTACAGAAGTTAGATAACTTCTCCAGGTCACAGGGTTCTTAGCGGAAAGATGGGACCCAACCCAGATCCTTCAGGCTGCAAATGCTGTGTCCCAAGCCCCACACCATTCTGTCTCCCAAACGTGTTTTGGGGGGAGGGGAGCTTGGGATAAACCTGGGAGTCTTGCTTGGAAGGCAGGATTCTCCCATCACTGCCCCCCTCAGCTGGATGGCCAAGCTGTGGCCAAGAGGTCAAAGGGAAGGTGGCCTCGGGGAAAATCCCAGGGAGCCAGCTGTCTGCCTCCCTCTTTCCTCCAACAACTGTCTAAGGAATCACCACGGGGCCATTCCCAGGCCCTTGATTTGCCCACTCTGAAACAGGATCATCAGAAGTGTCATTTTAGCTCTGACCCGTTTGACTCAGCAGGTGGAGTGTCAGCCCGTGGACTGAATAGTAAAGGGCATGTACCCCTGTTTCAGCTTGTCCCCGGGCCCTGTAGGGGTTGTGTGGAAGGCAACCAATCCATAGATTTTTATCTCTCTCACATCGATGTTTTTTTCCTCTCTCTCTCTCTACCCACCCCCCACTCTATCTGAAGATAAATGGAAGAATATCCTTGGGTGAGGATTTAAAAAAAAAAGTGTCATTTTATTATCTTAGGTCGGTGCTAATAGCACTGGTGAATCTCTTCAATTCTGAAGTGGGAGTGGGGCAACTGGATCTACTCTGAAGCAGCGAAATAACAAAGGTGCTTCATAGCCACGACCTACAAAGTGCTGTCCTCATTCTGTCATAGCTTCCATGAGCACTTGCCCTTTCTTATCCTTCCTATCCTGGGAGCCAGTCCAGAGTAATATCCAAGGAGTGTTATTATAAAAATAAAGATGCTTCCCTGAATTGCTTAGCATGCTCTATGAACTGCTGTGACAGAATCCTGAGAGTCTGAAGGTCATACTCAATGACATTTGAAGACATGTTGGCCGTCAAGTGTCAGCCTTGACAGTGCCCATGTGACCACCTCCCGAGACAGAGGTGGTTGTGTCACAACCCAGAAGCTGGGGTGCTGTGTGTTTCAATGCCTTCACCCTGATGGCTAAAACCACCCGTTGGTGTCCCCCTGCTTCCTTGCTGCCTGGTTGGTTACCACTCGCTCCTTTTAGAAACTCCTTTGTCTTAGCCGCTAAAATGGTCCAATGAGATGGACCGAGCAGCTGCTTTTCCTCCTGTTGCTGATGCAGGTGCTCTTCCCCACGCGGAGGACAAGAAGCTGAAGGCACCCGAGCGAGCGAAGGGCATGGAGGTAAGTAGGGGACTCCGGGCACTGGATGCAGGACATCACAGTGTGAATAAACATCTGCTAACAAACAGGTTTCCCAAAACAGTTCCCAAAGGGCCACCCATGAATAACAATGAGCTTATATGGACCCACTGAAGTCATGGCTGAACCGACCCTCGATAATCAGCAAACAACTCACCATGCATGAGTCAACTGTGCCCGACTCGTAGCCAGCACACAGCATCCGGGCGGTGATGGTCTTCATGTCAAAGTAGGACCGACACTGCTCCAGGGGGATCACGCGGACTTCTCCCTCCTGCAGCTTGAAAGGCACTGGGCGTTTTTAAACAGGAGAAATAAAATATACACGAGGGTAAAATGGCTCAAAAATGAGGCTAGCCGTTCAGGAAATGATCACATTCTTATAACCCCCAAACCACATTCGTTATTTAAAATGTCATTTCAAAGACAAGGCTTGTTTGCAGCCAGGATTTTCCTGTTAGAAGGGTTCATGGCAATCCTCCAGCCAAACCTCTTTGTTCTGTTGGGAAAAGCAAGCCACAGAGTGGTTAAGTAACTTGGTTAGGCAACTTGGCTCACGCTTCTGCCCTCTTATTCTATACGCTGCAATAAAAACAACAGCCACCGCAGTGAAATGGAAAAGGATCGCGCGCAGCTCCGCCCAGGTCCTAGGCTGCCCGCGGGTGTGGGCTCAGCCTCGGGCCCTGCCGGGCACCCTGCGTCCAGCAGAGCAACGCCCCCGGCCTAACGAATGTGTCTCCATGCGCTTCGGCGCTCTCATTTGAGATAAGAAACATTAATCCTAGTGGACACGACAGGACAAAGCCATCCCTCAGTGTCAGAGGGGAATGTGTGAATTCCATCTGGCTGGGAAGTTCTCAAAGAATAACATGGACTTCTCGAAGCATGCATCTTCAGGTGGTCGCCATTCTACGAAAGCATAGGCCCTGCTCTCCTCCGCATGGCGCTGGCGAAGCAGGGTGTGGGCACGGGCGCCTCACTGGGAGAGAGAATCCCGACTGGGAAAATCAGTGCGATGCGGCCAGTGCCGGTTTCAGGATGTGTCCAAACAAGGCAACGAGGACCATCGCTAGCCTGTGCCGGGTGCAAGCAGCAGGCCAGGCACTGCACACACCCACCCCCCCCCCCCCCCCCCCGTTCTCTGGGCCGGTTGCCTTTCTCTTTACAATCATCCTATAAACTAGACGGCTGCTATTATGTTTCCCACGGTGTAGAAAGCTAGGCAGGGGTGCAGTCAGGAGCATCAGATCTCTCTCAGCAAATGCACACCCTGCCTCCTCACGCTGCACTGTGTTTGTGGAGTGTGTGAGGTGTCACAGGGCTGCTCTCAGTGTGATGTGGATATTGAAGAGCAATACAAGTAGAGGCAACAGAAAGTAGATCTCCTGTCTCATGTTGCAATCCTCAAGATAGCTTTTGAAAACCAAGATGTGCAGGAACGGAGACATCGTACCGTGTGTCTGACGTTACTTTGAAGTTCTTTTCATTTAAAAAAAAAATCCCTGCCTTACTTTTTAAAATTTATTTATTATTTTTTAAAATCCTCAGCCAAGGATATTTTTTCTTTTTTTCTTTTTTTCAGACAGAGGTGGGAGGGGGAGAGAGAAAGATCGATGTGAGAGAGACACATCGACCCGCAGCCTCCTGCATGACCCCACCGGGGCCAGTACTGAACTGCTACGGAGGTACATGCCCTTGACCAGAATTGAACCCGCAGCTCTTTGATCTGCAGGTCGATGCTCTAACCACTGAGACAAACCAGCCAGGGTGCCTTTGAAGTTCTTACATGTGAGCTTTTCGGACATTCACTGACTGACTTCTGTCTATTGAATTTTTCTTTTTGTCCTCAACTGATCATATAGAAAGAAAACTCACCTTCAGTCAAAACTAATCTGACTAAATTTTTTTTTTAAATTGTCCTTCAAATTGGCAGTTGCTAAGGTGGACCACAGGACACTAGCCTGCTTCACCGTCCGGAGAGCCAGGGCAGCACCCTTGGCCTGGGGCGGCCCTCAAAGAAAAGGTCTCATGGATGCAGTTCTTGTTCTGAACTTGAAGAAGTCAGGCAACATGAGAGTCCGATTGGGGGCGGGGAGTAAGAAGAACAAATTTTTTTTTTTTTAAAAAAAGAAGAAGAAATTTTTAAATTTCTATTTTTTTATATGTTTAAGTCATCTAGGGAGCCAAACTATTTTAATCAATTCCAATTTGCCAATAGCAGAAATAAAAGATTGAATTCTCAATAAATAAATAAATTTGCAAAGAGCAAATACGTTTTCTTTGTGGAAGGACTTGCAGTGTGTGTTAAAAGGTCGACAGGACCGGTCACAGCACAGGACTGGAAACGGCCGAGCCCTAGACTGCAGGAGCCGGGAGCTAGACAAGGCGCCTGTGCGTCTGCCCACAGAGAGCGCAAACCACCCGTGGAAACGCTTCACACAGGATGACTGACAGGGCTCATCTTGCATGGCAACTCCGAACATTGGTACTGGCTCCCTGGAGAAAGATTCTGAGCTGTGGAGAAGTGCTTTTGAGGTTGCCTGTGAGCTTGGCGGGTTCAGTGTCATCACTGACATCTATCATTTGCACGGGCCAGTGTGACACACAGGCTCAGTGTTTACCATTCATGTCTATACTTTCAGAAGTGAAATGGGAAAGTATTGCCAAAGGCTGGGAAGTAACTCAGGGGTGTTCAGTGACAAGCTGAAAGGCCCGTGCTGCTGAGGACCCTGGCTTACTTTTGTTGCCCATGTGCCCCCAGCCTGTGATGTAGCAGTATGTATCCGGTTCCAAGGACTGGTCCGTGCTGGGTAAGCAGACAGGCCGGACATAGCTGGTTTCATTGACATCTTCGCTGAGCTCCACGATGCTGATGTCGTAGTCCACCACGGCCCGGCTGTAGCGGGGGTGCAGGATGATGGTCTTCACCAGGCGCGTCTGCATGAACGTGGACGGGTGGTCCAGGTTGTTGATGCCAAACACCACCCTCCACACTGCGGCATTCTCTCTCCTGAAATGATAATTCCAGAACTACTGGCATCTTAAACTCTCTAGAGGGCAAATGCAGCAAACAGCTTCATCTGCATCTCAGGTGCATGTAGCAGGAGGGGGAATTTTCACAGGGGGCAGGCAGGATATCAATGCACACAACCACCAGTCACTGTGGTTTGCAACTGGCCACAATCAGCTCTAGTTTAGACATGAAAATGGCCTCTTTTTCTTTCATTCAGCTAGCCAACTTGAGAGATTTTCCAGCTTTATCTTTTCTTGAGAGCACATTTCCCTGTTTGTACCCTTTCTGATTTTGCTTTAATATCTTAAATATATCTCCTTCTTAGGAAAAGAACATTAATATTTATAATTAACATCTGTCATAGAAATCACCTTATTTTGTCTTACTCCAGAAATGGTTTAGCTAAGTGGCAATTTGGAGGTAGTTAAAAGGTTACCAAATTTGTACTAGGAAATATCACAGGGCGTCGTTGCTGTTCTATAAATGTTATGAATGTCTTACTTTAAAAAAAATCAATAAATTTATTTTTGTTACAGATGTTTCTCCTTTCCACCCCCTAGACACCCTCCTCCCAATCCCTGCCCTATCCCCAGCATTGTTGTCTATGTCCATGGTTACGCATACATGCATGTAAGTTCTGCGGTTCATTTCATCCCTCCCCCCAGCCCCTCCTCTGAGGTTTGTTGGTCTGAATTGTACTCCTTCTTTTAATAGTGTGCTCTGCCCTTGATATTTCTAAAGAATTCCCTGTGACACATGCAGTAAATAGACTTTGGAATGGGGCAACCACAAAGTAAAGGGGTGAAAGGGAATGAGTACACCATATGCAGAGTGTGTCAGATCACAAGACCAGTCCACCCGGAGAGCCATCTACCTCTCAGTTCCTGCTAATTGCTGTCATGTTGAAATGCTGGGTGTGACCTGACCTTCCAATTGTTCAAGGGAAGCCAGAGTTCTGGATTTTGGGTTTGTTTTTTGGTACGTGCCCCTAGTGGGAACCGAACCTGGGACTTTCTGGTCCGCAGACCCACGCTCCAACAGCTGAGCCAAACTGGCCAGGGTTAGAGTTCTGGATTTTATGTAAACTATCCATAGTTTTAAATGCAGGCTAAAAGTGTTTAAGTGTATGTAACAAGCACCATAGATTAGCAGGCTGGACTCTTCAAATGAACGGTCTCTATTTGAGAGTTCCTCAAGTAGGTCTACACATTCTTCCAGATGAGCTTCTCGGCATCTGTGAAATGTTCATAGAATTCTCATTCCATTTCAGAGTAGAGAAAGCAGTGACCGGGCAGGCAGTGACTCCTGTGCAGTCACGGAGATAGTAAGTGATGGTGACAGACCAGATGCTAGCCCTTTAAACCCCTCGACCACACCCTTTCCACTAAACTTCTCTAAATCAAAGAGAAGGGTCCATAGATATCAGCACAGGAGTCAGGTGCTGGCCACAGGAGGGAAGGCATGTAGGACGGGTGGAGACGGACTGGGGGTCACAGAAGGCAGCAGCAGGAAGCTGCCTTCTCTTTCCTGAGCACATCCCCAGATGTGATGGGGAGCCCGCGTCAGCGTGAAATGACAGGAAGTGAACAATTCTCTTATGCAAGAGAAGGGGATAGATGGTCAGATATATATCCTTAGACTTTTGAGAAGCAGATTCCAGAATTTTTTGAAAAAACAAACCAAAAAAACCCCACGGATATGATAATGTGCCCAGAGACTCTTAAAACAAGTACAGCTCCACAGAGACGGGAGACTTTAAGTGGCTGACGCTGATGCTACCATCACAAGTGATTTCTATCGCAATAGAGTGGCGTGCAACCATAGCAACTGTCAGAAAGGCCTAGTCACAGGGTGAGCAGGGGTTTGTTTCAAGAGGAAAAACATCAGAAAGATTAGAATGGCTTCTCAGCGAAGTAATGTGTAAGAAGAACGAGAAAAGAGGAAAAATCCTGTCCATGGGAAACACTGTTAATAGATAACTAACACAAAGCAGAACTATGTGGAGTTTCCTTTACTTCTAATTTTTCTATTCAAGGAGAATGATCTTCAGACAAATCTGGAAGATTCATCTTCCATATGATAAAACATACATTTAGGACATTGAAATATTGAACTGATGTGTGGTCTAAGATGTGGGAGCAGTCAGTGAGGGATGACTAACTTTCTGTACATGACTTAAAATGTCTAGTCCCAGGTAAACTGTAGCCCTAGCTGCTAAAAGAACTACAGGTGTGGCTTGCTGTGGACAAAAAGGGGGCCAAATACTAAAGCTGAGAAGCTCGGATGGGGCCTGCGTGGAGGGCCCCACAAACTCAGAGACCGAAAATAAGCACATAGATGGTCTGAACATGCAAAGTTCAAAAAGCAGGTCATGGCGGGTAGTCATGGCCTAGACCTGTAGCTTCCTTGGCGGAGGTCAATCTTTACCTTAAGTGAGCTTGTCTGTTGTCTTTTTGCATCTAAGATAACAAGAGTGATCTCCATTTCCAGACCACTCAGGTCTTACACCAGAGCAAGAGACCACAGAACCTCTCATGGTTATCTTGTTCCCAGCCTACCATCTCTATGTGCTGTAACGTTAATTATTAACTATCCGGTACCCACCAATGTAAAAAAGAAAGTATGTGTCTTTCTGTTTTACTTTTTATACAGTCCCAGAGATCACCCCCTTTGCTTTCTCTGCCGTTCTCCAGAAAAAAAATTTTTAATTTGTTGCTTCCTGGCAGTTGTCATCAGTTTGGCTTAAATAAAGTCAGAAAAATTATCTGCAGGTTTGAATGTTTCTTGTGTTGACAATTGCTAAGAAACACCGAGAAGGGGCTGTTTAGTCAGAGAATATATATTTATTGAGTGGCTATTACATGCTATCCTGAAAAAAAACAACACAGGGGCAAGGAAGACAGAGTTCATGCCCTCATAGAGTTTGATTCTACTGGGCTAAAAATATACATGAAGAAATGTGATTACCTTGGTCACTTAGAAGTGAAAAAGTAGGGAATGTGATAGTGAGATAGCTGATGGGGTGGTCACTTAGCTAAGATGGTTATGGAAGGCTTTTGACAGAGTGGGTGACACTTGAATTGAGACTTAAATGACGAGGAGGGGTTTTGTGACTTTATGGCAGTGTTCACAACTGCAGAGGCCACAGGTTCAAAGGTCCTGGGGTAGAAACGAGCTTGGAGGATTTCAGGGACATAAATAAAGCTAGATGTTTGGCTCCCAATGATGGATGAGAGAATAGAGGGAGGAGCAATCAAGGAGGTAACACTAGGTCTTGAAAGGCTATGATGACAAAGTTTTATTTTTGTTACAATGGGAAGCCATTGTAGGGCTTTAAGTACAGGGAGTGACGTGGTCTGATTTACATTAAAAAAAAATTACTATCCCACTGTGTGGACAAAAGACAATAAGGGAACAAAAGAGAAGTCAAAAGACGAAACAGGAAACTATTTTAAGAATTGTTATGGGTTGGTTGTATGGCATGTTGAAGTCCTAATCCCCAGTCCATCTGAATATGGGTATTTAGAGAAATAATCAAGTTAAAACGAGGTCATGAGGGTGGGCCCTAATTCAATATGACTGGTGTGCTTACACAAAGGAGAAATTTGGAGACAGACATACACACAAGGAAAAGCTGTGTGAAGATGAAGGCAGAGACCAGAGCGATGCTGCTACAAGCTCGGAACTGCCAAAGATGCAGGGGCACCAGGAGCTCGGTGAGCGACATGGCACTTCCAGCCCTCGGAAGGAAGCAGCCTGCCAACCTCCCCTTGGACTTCTGGCCTCCAGAACTATAAGCGAGTAAATGTCCGTTGTTCAAGCCAGCAGCCTGCGGTACTTTGCTATGGCACTCCCAGGAAACGAATACAAGAGCCAAGACCTGATGTGATGGTGGCTTGGGCTGGGATTGTAGAATGAAGATGGTGAGAGGTGGGTGGGTTAGAACTGTTTTGGAAGAAGATCTTACAAAGCTTACTGCCTTTGTGAGAGCAAATGTGAGAGAAATTAAGGATGATTCCCAGGTTTGGTACATTACGAAACCAATAGATAATGATGCCTTTTACTCAGATGGGTAGAGTTTGTGGAGCACACCATTATCTGAGCAGTGGGAAAGGTAAGAAACCAAGTTTATTTTGACCATGTCAAGTAGGATGTTTATTACACATTCAAATGGACATCTCATCCAAGCAGTTAAATATATACATTTAATGTTGGTGGGTGGTGGTGGTAGTTGGGGGGAAATCTGGGCTGAACTGGAGATGTAAATTTGGAAGTCATGAACACATATTTGATATTTATATTTGATATTCATTTTGTTCAAATGTGAACAAGTATTTGAAACTATGTGATTCGATGAGTGAAAATAGATAAGAAAGCCAAGAACTGGACCCTTGTCTTAGCTTGGATTGCTGTTATAAATTACCATAGACTGGGTGGCCTAAACTTCAAGTATTTATTTCTCACAGTTCTGGAGGCTAGAAGTCCAAAATCAGGGTGCCAGCAGGACCCGTTCTGGTGAAGATGCTCTTCCTGTCTACTTGTTGTATCCTCATGAGGTGGAAAGAGAGAGAACAAGCTTTTTTCCTCTTCTTACAAGGACACTAATCCAATTATGGGGTTCCGGCCCTGGCCAGTTTGGCTCAGCGGTTAGAGCGTCGGCCTGCGGTCCGGAGAGACCCGGGTTCGGTTCCCGCTAAGGGCACGTACTTTGGTTGCAGTTTGTCCCCGGCCCTGGTTGGTCGTGCGGGTGGCAGCCACTCGATGTGTCCCTTCACATCGATGTTTCCCTCTCTCTCCCTTCCTCTCTCTCTCCCTCCCACTCTATCTGTACAAAAAATGGAAAAATATCCTCGGGTGAGGATAAAAAAAAAAAAAAAAAAAAAAATTATGGGGTTCCGCTCTCATAGTTTAATTTACTTCCCAATGGCTCCACGTCCTAATATCATCCTATTAGGGGATGAAGTTTCAACATATGAATTTGAGGGGGACGCACACCT